TTAATATTCAATCTGAGATTCGACTGACCAGAGAACACATAAAGGATCATGAGATCTCGGCATTGCACATAAAGCAAATAGCATCCTTAAAATCAACATTTGCCTGATGAAAGAAAACAAATCCCATCACAGTTCAGTTTTGTGCATTCATCTTCAAGAAGATGAGCATATCTGCTCTCTCTGGATCCAAACGGGCCCTTTCACAGCGTAGGATATCACCTGCTAAACTGAACACTCTCGCTTGGCACGCTGCTTCCCTGAACACAAAGGTACTTGGTTGCCATACGAGACAGCATTGGTTGGAGATTGGATGTGTTGCCACCTTTCCCATAAATAAACTTCTTGCAGTGGTTACAGACCCCACCATTCAGACTGGCAGTGGTTACAGACCCCACCATTCAGACTGGCAGTGGTTACAGACCCCACCATTCAGACTGGCAGTCATATGCAGCCACACTTTAGATTTTCAAAAGTGACTTGGTTGCGGAGTTTCACTGCGAAATTGACATCGTAATTCCGACGGTTTGGGCACAAGTTTAAGGATATTATGCATCACTTTTATAAAAAAAAAAAAAAAATAAATAAAAAAAGAAAAAAAAAAAAGTATCGAAAACCGGATCTGATTTCGGTACGGTATACCGTAGCCACCAGTAACCGGTATTTCGGTAATACCGGGAACCGGTATGCATCCCTAGTTACGACAACATCGTGTTTTATGGAGAGGGATGCGTTTCCATGGCAACAGCCTATGGTGAGATCTCAGATTTGGCGTAGAGCTGTTGAGGCATGGAGAGGTGATGTACAAGTACAGTTTGGGGGACGATCGGACCGTGTCCATTGGAGTTACCGCGACATTGTGTTTTATGGCGAGGGATGCGTTTCCATGGAAACGGCATATGATGACATCCCATAATTGACATAGAGCTGTTGAGGGCTGGACCATCAACCATTATCTGAAGTCTGGTGCTGTTTTGACCATTTGCATAGGTATCACGACAACATTGTGTTTTTTGGCAAGGGATGCGTTTCCATGGAAAAGCATATGGTGAGATCTCAGATTTGGCGTAGAGCTGTTGAGGCATGGACCGGTGATATAGAGGTGAAGATTGGGGGACGATCGGACCGTGTCCATTGGAGTTAGAGCGACATCGTGTTTTATGGCGAGGGATGCGTTTCCATGGTAACACCACATTATGTAACATCAGATTTGATGTAGAGCTGTTCAGGGCCACAGTGTTAACCATCATGGGATGTTTGGTGGCGTTTTGAGCATGTCAGTTGGAGTTATGACATCATCGTGTTCAGAGTTGGGTGTAACGCGTTACTGTAATAATATTACTTTTGTCGGTAACGGAGTAGTGTAACGCGTTACTTTTATAATTCAGTAATCACACTACAGTTACTAACATTGCCCCGACACGCGTTACTTCGTTACTTTTATAAAATCAGTCATAATCACACTGACAGACAAGAGGGATTTCCGCCGCAGGTTTATATGTAGGCTACGTAATCTGCGCGACTTGCACGTCCACATCTCTGCGTGCAGTGCTGCATAAACATGGCTGAGTCAGCGATAACTTTCGAGGGGTGGAGGTATGCCCATTATTTTGAGTTCGTCCGAAGAATAGACAGGAATTTGACGGTGAGGTGCAAACTGTGTCCAGGCCAGAAGCTGTTATCCACTGCTGTAAACACCACTTCAAACCTCAACAAACACCTGCAAAGAACACATGCTAAGGTGAAGCTAATAGCTAAGGACCCCCGAACCCAGAGTGAGGATGTTGTGAGTGCGCCGCCGCCGACTCCGAAGCAGCAAAAATTAGAATTTGGAGGACCGGTAACCAAAGCAGAGCTATCTGGATCAGTCTTATGCGACTGAACTAAAGAGAACATTTGAAACTTTAGCAGTCTGCGTGATCTGCCTGTAGGGAGGGGCGGGCCGGCCCTGCGAGTAAAGTAACGAGTAAAGTAACGAGTTACTTTATGTAGAGAGTAACGAAGTAGTGTAAAATATTACTTTTTTTTCTTTAAAGTAATATGTAATATTACTTTTTTTTAGTAACGACCCCATCCCTGATCGTGTTCCATGACACAGGTGTTGATGTTTGACCTAACGACGTTATGAAACACCTGTGCTTGAGCCCAGAGATCTAAGGTTTCCATGGTGATGGCAGTAATCAGTGAGAGGAGAGCCTTTCCATTGTTCTGAATGAGAGATAAACCAATTACATGTGAATGTTTTGTTGAAGAACCGTAGCAGATATCAGTGACATTTCAACATGTGCAGCATGTCAGGACCCTAACGAGCGTCTGAATCTGCTTTTTGTGTACTTTGGGGTCAATAATGTGGCCTTTTTGGCAGATTAACTAAAGGTGTGTGGCTGCTGCTGTGAGGAAAGATTAGCCTGAATTTACAATGGGCCTTAATGGAGACATGTTGAAAGTTTTTGTCACTTCATGCCCTCAAGAGGCATTTTGTTTAATTATTTTGCTTAATTTATTTTTAATTTTTCAAGCTAAGATATGTTTTCCTACGTTTCTCATGAAAAATGATGTGCAAGGAGTGTAGGATTTGGGAATTATGGCAGGTTTAAAAGAAAATTAAGGCGGATTTCAAGCACTCTAAGCCTTAACGAGCTGCGCAATACACACTAATGTTAAAATCTGAAGAAGGCCTCTTTACCAAGGTCTGAACAATGTTTAATATTTCTAAAAGTATGAATCTGATTTAAAATGTGTTTAATATGAATAATGTCAGAAAGATGTGTAACATTTTAAAGTTGGAATGAGGTTTCTGAGTGAAAGTATGAAGGAACAGTTAGCAGTTGAAGTCGCATGAAGATTTTTCAAGTCTGAAGAGTTTCTCCATCGAGAAAGCGAAAGCGATCGAGCTGAACGTTTTGATGTTTGAACGGAGTTTCTGCGATGTGGAATGTGGGAGAAGAAGACGGACAAAATAACCCGGCGGAATAATAATAAAGAATTTTGTGCGTAGAAGAACAGGTAGTTGGAATGCTGTATCAGCATATACATTGTATAGTATGTTGAAAATATGAAACAGAAGGCATAGTTTAGTATTTCACATTTTGCAAAAAAAGGAAGAGTATGGTATGTCGAAAATGTGCAAAAAACTGCATAGTATAGCATGTTGAAAATATATCAAAAAAAGACATAGTATAGTATGTCTAATCTTGCTAAAATAACTAGATAGTATAGTATGAAAAACATTAGAACATAAGCCTAAAATATAAGAAAAAATGACATAGTATGTCGAGAATATCTGAAAAAATGACATTGTATAGTACTTCTAGAATATCTGAAAAAGAACATCATAGTATATTTGAAAAATGTCCGAAAAACTACATAGTATAGCATCTAAAAAATGTCAGAAAAAACATGTCGAAAAAAACCGTTTATAATAGTATGTAAAAAACATAGCATAATATGTTGAAGATAACCACAAAAATAATATAGTTTAACAATAAAACAGTATGTTGACAGACAAAAATAGGCCTTGATTATTATGTCATAAAAAAAGGTAAGTTGAAAATCTCAGTAAAAAACAACATTGTATAGTATTTGTTAAATATAAGAAAAAATATATAGTATATCATGTCAAAGAAAAATCACAGTACAGTATGACAAAAATATGAGTACAAAAAAGCGAAGTCCGTTAAGAAATATTTGGAGAAACAGCATATTTTAACATCAGAAAAAAAGGTTTTACACTTCATCATTGCAGCCATCACTTTGTATTGTATTGTTCCCTAGAGCGACACTCCGTCTTCTGCGTTTGGGGTACTGTACAAACGGCTTATTAACAGAATGTCGTATAGAATCAGAACAAGTGTTAAGCTGCTTCAACTTTCGTATACCAAGCTTGAACCAGGTGATCCCTTACTGTTAGACAATTAGTCTGCCAGACAAGTTCAGACGGAACAATGGAAGAAACTGTTGACCCCATACAAGGTTCTTAAGTATTTACTCAGAAGTGTTTAAGAACACACGCTCCTTTTTATGATGAAAGTAAGAACTTAACGTCTGATTTCAATGGGGTTCAGTTGAGGCCTCAGGCTGAAAAAACTACATTTAAAAAGGATGCATACCTACAGACGACATTGTGCAAATTTGGGTGTGGCATAGCAGTGACACAAAAACAACAGTATTTTCCCAATTTTCTTTTAGCAGTTTTTTATGCTGTGACAAAAAGAATCCCATCTCATCTTGTTTGTCGAGGCTCAAAGGATTAAACAAAGTCAACAGTGATGGAGAGGCACTGATCTTTTGAAGTATTTACATTTGTGTGTTTTTGTGTCCCCGTTTTCCCCCTGAAGGCTCAAGTCTATATTTCCTCTCTTCACTCTGAGTTTGTCTTTGCTCCGGTTTGGTAAATGGCAGCCTCTGCGACAGACAGGTGCTCTCCATCTTGTAAACCCAGAGGGGGTTCGGTATAAGACAAATGGGTCTGGGAGCGTCACCCCGCCCCGTTCCACCTGGCTCATCTCACATGCAGTGATATGTCATGGGAGTTGTAGTCTTACCTCAAGTCCCAGTCGGCCCCTAGAACGCAGGAACTCATCACTCACCACAAAACAGCTGAGACAAGTTGGCTGAAGTAGACAAGTTTATTAATGATAATAATGAGGATGATGAGGATGATGATAATATTAATAATTAGTCATAATTATAATAACGTTAATGTCATAATAAATAGAACTCTTCATCTGAAGCACATAAAGAGAAGCATACAGAAAGAGAAAAACCAAAAACACAAAGTTCAGAGTACAGAGCCAGAGGGGGGGCGGGGACTTCTAGAGACATTTTTTTTTTTAACCTTTCAATATATCCATTTAATTTTTTAACATTTTAAAATTGTATTTAACTGGAACATTTACAAAAAGGAGAAAGAGATAGATTTTAAAAAATCCTTATAAATAAATGTTGTCATTATTAGAACAAAATACAAGATTTCGGGGACTCAGAGGATGGAGTTTTTTTTCTTTTTTTAAATCTTTTTCCCCCTGAAAGGACAGCTGGGGGTGGGGTAGGGGTAAGGAGGGGTGAAGGTTATTATGTACAGAACACCAGGTGTACAAAAGGGGCCAGTCGACTCACATACTAGAAGGCTAGGTATGGTGGGGGTCGGGGGGAGGCGGGACATCCTGCTAGTGTCACAGCTCAAGCAGTTGTGCTCAGGAAGATCAGGACCAGGTCATTACAGTATAATGAAGGCATCAGAGGGGAGGGTCTCTTTAACACCGTCTGTCCCCGCTGAGGTGCAGGCTGGAGCTTTAGACAGACTCACATGTTTGTAAAGGCAGAACCTCTCTGGACGCAGAAAGTTTAAAATGCAAAGGAGCAGAGATAAACAACCACATTTGAAAAAATTATAAATCCAAACCATACCTGACCACTGACACTAACATGGAAGACCAGCCAGAATAAATAGCTCGATTGGATACATCTAAATACCACCAATAAATATATTTTTTATATCAACAATGGATTAAAGTATGATGGTAAACAGGTTGCACATCGTCCCACGAAACATTATAAGGCAATACAATCTCAGGTGTGTTTCTTTTAGATTAAGCCTTTGTCAGTAATGCACCAACAACGCCTCATGGGAGCTGTAGTTGTGGAATGCTTACACAATAATATTTTTTCATACAGTAATGCAATAAAAAACATACTTTTTGTTAGTTTTTTACTTCTTCTGTCCCAAGAGCCCAAAACAAATGACAGTATTTTAAATAAAGAAATCTGTTTGATCAACCATTAGCTCTGGCTTACTTGGAGTCATTTACATCACAGGACATATTATTTATAATGGTCCCTTAAAAATGCCATATTTACTTCTCTAAGGCTTTTAAAAACTACAGTTCCAAACTTTTTTGAATGAAACTGCATCTATTGTAAAATATACACATCATTAGTGGGAACCAATGGGCTGGAAGCTAAGGGCAGGAAACAGGAAGTCAGAACGTTTTGAGAGACAAACCCAACACTTTGTCAGTTTCGGTCTGTTTATGGGATTTATTTAAACAATAAAATATATAATATAATTTATGAACTACTAGCTTATAAGTAGGTAACAGTGGTGTCTTCACATGTGACATCATTACTGTTTTGTTGCAAAGTGCATAGATCATTTAGTGAACAAAAATCAAATCAATGGTAATAAGCTAAAAATTAAAAGCTGTGGTTCTTCATCTCTGTCAGTTATTTTGACCCCCCCCCCCCAGGAAGTTCCTTTTCAAAGTAAAGCTCCAGCCTGCCCCTGAGTCTGTTCTGACCCACCACCAGCGCAGTAAGTAGGCCATACCAATCATGTGACTCTCAGAAACAAACCTACAGGTATAAAAAATGCTAAGCCTGAATGTGATCGCTGCATGGGAGAACAAATGACCGACTTTACCCCAATTAGACTTCACAACAGTTAGTTGCCATGATATAGATACTCTTTGTAATATATGAGAAGCTGTCCACAGATGAACAGAGGTCGCGTGGGTAGAAGCCCTGATTCAGAACAAGTTTTTCTTTTTTTTTTTTTTACCTGAAATAAGATGAAGTTAAGTGTGAGGTGAGATTTACTGCACAGGATATTAACAGTACACACTGCAGTTTTGTACAGGAAGTCAGCAGCTTAAACCTAGTGTTGCCTTCTCGGAACAATTCACACAAAACCACTACGAGCTAAGTAGTGTACCCTGAACTCTCAAACAAAGTTGTGCTTCACCCGAACCTGCTCGCCTCTGATCAAAAAAAAGTTTCTTTTCAGGGCAAGCAGGTTTTTTCTCCAATATGCAATAAAAGCCTGCCCACCAGGGTCAGCAGGAGAACAGCGAGGCTGCTGCAGGAAACTGGGCTTCATCAGCGGGGCTCCTCGCAATACAGCGAGCTCTTCCTCAGCCCTGATGAGCCAATGAAATCTGGGTCACGTCAATACACATCCGGGCTCCGCTGTCATCACACAGTCTTGCTGCCTCCTGATCAAAGAGCACCGAGACTGTGTGTTCAAATCATACTTTGGTTCAAGTAAGAAAAGAAAAATCAATATTCATAAACTTTTTATCTGACACCCACAACACCTTGCGCTAATTAGCAAGTCTTCCTAGCCTCCAATGAAGGGGGGGAGGGGTGGGGGGAGGGGGGGCTGGAAGGACTTCAGATGTTTTTTCCTGAAGTGTCTGTCGGGTTAAAACAGGATGTGATGTCTTGCATTAGATGGGGCATAGATATGTGTAAATCTGCATTATTGTAAAATCTATCTGTGTGGTAAAGGGGGGGAGGGGGGTTCAGGGAAGATCAGTTCACACTATCACCATCACACTTTCAATCATATAACACATGATCACATGTTACAGTAAATATCAGGGACATATTTAGTTGGAGGGGGTCTGATATCTATGTTCGGGGGCCAGAGGCGTTTCCTGCCCACCCCCTCTACTCCCTGACACCACCACAGCCCATATAATAGATATGTATATATATTTATATACAGGAAAAGAATACATACTTATTGGACACCCTAGACATTAATGTACATTCAAAGAACTGAACCAACATTCTTTTTAAACACGTTTACAGTGACTCTTCTGATATAAAGAATTAAGGTTTCGCCTCCACCAAATTAAAACTTTTTTTCCTCTTTAAAAGTTTTCAGTGCTGCAAAAAAAAAAAGAAACACACAAATAAATATTCTCAGAATACATTGACAAACAATTTGACATATTTCAGCCCTCGTTCCTTGTTACCGTCGGATGGGCACTACTGTATTTCTATAATGTTTTATCTAGCGACATAGTCTATATGCCTCAGGCTTGTGTTTTGGTTATGCACCTGCTGATGTAGTACAATGGGATTATTCGGTTATAATTCAATTTGTTACATGGACGTTGATGAGTTATTCTCGTCAGGTGGAAACGTGCATCCTTGGTAGTTGTACGCACCTTTTTCCATCGTTAGTCTGATAGCTTGTCCGTCGGTGCAGAGTGACACAAAGGCTTGGGCTCGGAGTCTGGCAGGTGAGTAAAGTCGGCGACTTTTGCGCCATTTTCTCTAACTAGTCCTCAGTCAGTGACCTCTGCTGGGGCGTGGAGAGGGGCAGACCGGGGGCTCGGCTTTATACCGTCTCACCGTCCCGCCGTGGCTCACCCCCCCACTCCCCAACGCTGTAAACCAGAAATCGCTGCCCATTGGGGAGGGCGGGGATGCCCGATGGTGCTGCCAGGAGAAAGTGACATCACGACAGTATCCACGGGGGACGCTGCTAACAGTAGGCGCTGCGGGGCCAGTGACACCGCAACAAGGAGAAAGGAGCGACATCACCAGCCCGAAAAAAGGAAGTGAGAAAGCAAGGAAGGAGGTCAGGGAGGTTGGAAGGAAGTGGGCAGAGCAGTGAGACCAGCAGGCTGACCTTTGACTCCGCCCACAGGAAGTACAGCGTAGAAAGTGCTTCTGGCTGCCGAGCTCTCCCTGCCACCTTTCCTTTTGTTTATTCTGTTTTTTGTTTACACGACCTCTGCGACAGAGCAGTGTGCCATAGAGAGAGGAGGGGGGGCTCCTCCCTCCTCCTTCCTGCATACCACAGAATCAGCATCAAGGGCCAACTGTTCATCTCCCTTAGCAAAAAACATAAAAACAGATTTGTACATATATACTGCTTTATACACACTTTTTACCATTGTAAATCACAAAAGTATAGAAAAATAAAATGTTTTATAATAACGGGACACTTTTCATTCTCTCTCTGTCTTTTCTACACGGCAAAAAGGTGGTCCCTGGTGGAAACTGGCTCACTCCGTCTGTCAAGTTTGTGGCTGGTTCGACACCGCTGCCGCGGCGCCACTTTGTACGCCTCCCGTCTTCCCTCGCCAGCCTCAGTAGAGGGACTCCTTCTCGTCTTCTTCTTGTGTTATTTTCTTAAAGCTAGTTCTCCTCCCTTCGTTGTTTTCATCTGTGATGTCCATCAATACTGAGTACAGCTCTTCCTTTTGTATTTACTGGAAACAGGGGAGAGAAGCAGGGAGACTGGTAAATATGCAGAATGGAATGTTATCATAGGCATATATAATGAGGTCTTATTATAAGTGTAGCAGCAAGTTTATTCCTTTCTAAACAAGTTTTTTTAGGAGTAAGAATCTTGTCATGGAAAGAATATGCTGGAAAAAAAGTCCTTTGAAAAACTAAAATACAAGTAAACATGTGAAATAATGTATGGGAACTTCATGTAAAGCCCTCCAAACCCCTCTTTTCCCCATCTATGTAATGTACAAGGAGGAAAAGTGCAAAATGGGTAAAAAAACTGTCACAAAAAAAGGAAACAATGTTAAAAACTCTACTGCAAAAAAAGTTTGGGAGCAGAGAGACAAGAGCTTCATTCACTTTTCATCCTGCTCTTGTAATGTGACATAAAAGAAGTGGGAGCAGAGGCCTGGCGCCTGCCAACACTACCGCTGCTCTCCCCAGAATACAGATCACAGCCCGCTGTAATCATACAAGTGGAGATCGGCAGTTTGGCAGTGCAAAGTGAAAATCTCAGTGTAATGGGGCCGGATGGAAGCGGGGGAGGAGGGGGTGTTAGGGGCAGGCAAGGCGAGTTTCCCAGGACCCTCGTCACGACATATGCTGGCTAATTCGGATGGATCTCTGGCAGCTCTTCCGACAAATAAATAAATAAAGGAATAAAAGGAAGACAAGCTTCTAATTTGCCTTTGTAGTGCGTTACTCCCCCCCCTAACTCCCCACCAATCCAGAGAGACAAACAAGTGGCGTGCTCAATCAGCGTCCACCCCGTCTCCCTTTGCATATATCTCATGGAGGAGCTGCTCCCCCCCCCCCCCCCCCATCTCTCCTATAGCTCGGATTCACTGAGCGCTCGCTAGGGACCGCTATACAAAAATATCCTCATGCAGCCTTACAGCTCAGCAGGGAGGGAGCACAATACAGCGGAGCTACATATAGTCCTCCCTGACAGGCAGCCTCGAACTGAGAGGGCTGCGGAGACAAATATATTAATCACCCACGGACAGGAAGTATTCAGGGGGGGGGTTAGTTCAGGTATTACAGCCTGCGTCCCTTTCACTCATACTTTGTTTAAACCAGTCTATCTTTAGCAATTAAAAGTGGAGCCTATTAAAGGGCCGGACTACAGAGAGAAGCTTTCTTCTTCAAAGACCGAGTAGTGTCGAGCCATGCAGATGTGTTTAGTTGTTCAGCTGTAATAACAATGTGATGCCACCCCAATACAATGGAATGTTGTTCAGACTATGATGGCTGAGAGAGTTCAACACAATACAACTTACACCTGAGACAATTGCATTTGTTCTTCTTCTTCCTTATCAACTCCACCACCGGCTTTGTTAGTTTGTTTTTCTTTCAGCAGGATTTTGCAGTGTCCATGTTGTTTTAACGTTATGACTTTAAACTCATGAGCACACCAAATAAAATCTGCTGAATTGTAAAAAAGGAAATCTGAGGAGCACCTGAATGCACCATTGGCATTGGCGGAGGTTTGCGCTGAAGTTGATGTTGTGTTCAATCCTGCCAATTAATCTTGAAAGATATTTATATAATATATAGATATTATTAACTATTATTAGCTGTCACATATCGGCACAGTTGTTTTTATTTTTATTTATTTTTTGAATTTGTCGAACGTTTTTCTTTGCAATCAATTGTTGTCAAATGTGTGAATAATTCCAAATTTGCAAAACTTTTTATAGAATTGAAATGATTAACTTGTTCATATGTTTTTAGTCACATTGTGTTAAGCTCTCTTCGCCATCATACGGTAGCAGCTGTCCCTATTTGCAACCATCTGAAGGGCCAGACACCACCAGGGCTCAGTGATGAAATGCTTTAAACAAACAGATGAGATGCACACATAATGCAACAATCCAAAATCAGATTCTGATAAAACCCTTAAAACAGCAACAACAACATCCATGTGTGAAGGCAGACATAATGTTCTTATAACTGCTTTATTCTGACACTGAAAACAATCAGAGGTTACTTATATGTCACATAAATAATCCATGAAATAAGAGAAAATGTCATAATAGTATACTATGAAATGAATCCAAAAGAAAATTACTTTACACCTTTCAGACAATATATTCTCATTATAGAAATTACATACAATTCAAGAACAGCTGAATTGAAAATACACAGATGACGCCACTTCATATAGGAATACATATAAAACAGTTAATCAGAGATTTGCGATAGATGTATATACATCTAAATGTATTTACAAGTACTGTAACTTTTTTGCTTGGTTCTCTTTTGTACAAATATTTTTTAACTAATAAATGCACCTGCCAGCTTATCAGGGCTTAGTAAATACTTGTATTAAATATAAATTATGGATAAAGAGTCTTTTTCTGCTGATATGTAAACGTTTCTCAATACTACCATTAATAAATACGAAGAGATGTGTGGATCAAAGAGGTCTGGTTGCATATTAGGCTGGTTATGGAATACAATGAAAGCAAACAAAACGGAGAAAATATCAAAGTGTCTGTTTTATAAATTCACATTTAGATTACTTTTAACTTGCAGAACTAAACGGCTCAGACCTCTACAATACCGACATCCAGTTATTTACATGTTTTGTCTTTAACATTTAAGCCTTGATAAGCTGACACTGACACAGACAATGCTAATTTGAACTTTTTCTGTAAACTGTAAACAAACCCGTGCAGACTGATAGGAGCAGATTCTAGATGACAATACTCAAACGTGTCCCTGTAATAACAGTGCAGTAGAATCATATTTCCAGTTGGCTTTGAAAGTCGGCCATTTTGAATTTCTTTGAATTTTCTGCTTTTTAGTGGACATTTCCGAAATACTCTAGGGTGTAGAGCGGAAAATATATATAGCATGTCAAAATGTCATGCTATATTTAAAAGGAATAGTGGTAGCTCACAAATTAAATCTGTTTGTCGAAGAAAAACAAACATTTTCAAAACTATTATTATGTGTCTACTGAACATTGTCTTAGATTTTGGAAAGGCCAGACCTCTCTCACTGAAGTCCGATTGACAACAAATGTTGCACACTTGTCCATCTGAATGTGCCATGGTACAAAAAGCTCCATGGTACAGCAAGGCCCCGCCCACCTGGAAGTCGGCCATTTTGAATGATATGCATTTCCCTGTATTTTTGGTGTACGAACTACTCTTAAAGAGTAGATTGATTCACTTACATTTTTGGTGAGAATATACCATGTCAATATGGTATTTATATCATTTGAATGCTTTATAAAGTGGTTATTTAGACTGCAAATATTATGTTGATTGACTCATCAGTCAATCAATGAGTACTGTGATACATTCTGTCATGTTTGGAATTATGATGTTTTTGTTAGCATTACATTGTAAGTCTTGGATAAATACTGAATAAATGTCAATAACGTGGCCAAGTACTTTTTATTTCTCTCTATGACTGTGTAATGTTAAAAATCTTTGATTGATACTGATATTTTAGAGGCTATTGTGATGTTATTACAGGGACTTAGAGTGAAGGCATGTCAAACTGTATCCTAACTACAATATGTTAGCAAACTGCATTCACTTCCTCTTTCTCTCTTATCCCAAACACACTCGCACACACACATTCTAATGCATATGTATATATATATATATATGTATATATAGAGCACACACATTCACATCAGAAAACTAAAATCTATTTAATTCCATTCTAGCTTCCTAATAGTGGTCACTAACCAACTACATGGTACACATGAACTCTGCTGCAGAGTTTACACTAGAAAGTCACACAAATGCACAAACAACTTCACCTGTTTGGTTAAAAATAATATTCAAAGTTCGCTTTGACTCATATAAAAACCCCAAATGGTTTGTAAGTACTAGCATATAAAAGGAAGAACGACATTTGTTTACCCACGTGAAGATTCTTTTAGATTCATGAGATTATGGGTTCATTTATTTTTGTGTGTTGATATACAACATATGGTTTTAACATCTCGACTAGACATAACTAGCTGTATATGATACTTTTATAAATATGTAACATCTTGTAAAGTTTGGAAAAACAAAAGTGCAACAAACTGATTTTCTTTTTTTTTCTGAGACCACAAACACTTTTGTGATTACATATAAATAAAATACTGTCAGCAATAGCTTTGAGTTGTATTCCTAGCTGCACTGAAATCTTGAACCGCTAACAGCTACACAGAGATTTTTATTTTCAATCTGCCTCACGTAGCACACAGTTGTAATAGAAGCCAATGCAACCACTGTATGTGGACTAAGAGGCGAGCTCTGCTGCACTCTACACATTTACATCACGTCTCCTGGGTGCTTTTAGAATATATCGTACTGTACGTGTGAGTATGCAGTGTAAACTTAGTTATACAGTATATGTCTACATATATATAATACAGTAGCTTTAATAAAGAACAACAGTACAGTCGTTTTTTATCGTCCTCTTTTGGGGTCTTTGCTTGAACAAAAAATCATCTCGTATAGAAAGCTGTGTTTGCTAAGAGGACAAACCTGCTGGTTGTGTTAGAAATTAAACGATCCTGCCTGCTGAGGAGTGTGTAGCACTGTATTGTTGTGTGTGATCAGTTAGTTTATCCTGAGGTAAAACATTTTGTGAAATGTTTAAAAAAGAGACTCTATGCAGAACAGCCCCCTGTCGGGTTCAGCCACCTCCGTGCTGTGTCATTACTGCGTATCAGTGTGTTTGTGATAATACAGCGCACCTTGAGTACAATTCATCTGCCGTGGTGTTAGTGCCAAGTCTTCTGCAAATTACGTTCATCTGCAACTATTTAGCAATTTGTTTATTCTGCAAAAATGAGGAAGGCGACGTCTTTAAATAGCTTGTAGTGTTCACACAGAAATCCAAAACTAAAGGGATGCAGATTAAAATGATAAAGATAAAGTTGGATCCATAATGTTAATTTTCTTATGATGGATTTACCAGTTAATTGATTAATTGCACTAATCCGTTTAATAACTCCTATTTACAAGCTTCTGAGATTGTAATCTATCTTGATGTATCTACCAATACTTCCCCTCAATATCCATGTCATTTTATGTGAGTAAGATATTAAAATGCCTTCCTATATAATGCATCACCAATGATCTCCAATTAAAAAATACAAAAAATCCTTTGACTATGTTGAAAAATATTCTAACTTTATTTAAACAGTAGTTAATATGTTTGAATGGCAACATTAAAGAGAGGCACTTCTCCAATTTTATATTTTACAGTAAGGTGACTCAAACTATTTAGCCAGTGAAAACACTTTTATACTTCATTCCCCTAATTCTCGAGGAGCATCATGGTCTAAAAAAGGTTACTTTTTACATATTTAAAAAAAAAACTGATTTAAAATACGTTGCCGTTTACCAAGTTGGGTGTGATACAAGAAGGAACTTTGTTCTTCTAAAAGCACTGTGTATACAGTATGTGTAAAATGGGTGTGTTAACAATGTAATTACAGTGTAATTTTGCTGTAGTTTTGGTGCAACATGGGTAAAATAAGGGTGAATGACGGGTGCAATAACTGTAATATGAGTGTAATATTGCTGTTATTTGAGTGTAATATGGGTCTAATAACAGTGGGTGTAAGATATAAAATAGCAATCAATTCATTTTCTAAAATATTGATATGTAAATCCCCATTTAATGTTTAAAATATCACTGCCAACTACTAGAATGGGCGATGCAAACCAAGGCTGCTGGTTGGAAAAACAAACACTCTATCCCCGTTTTTTTTGTTCCTGAACACAACCAAGACAGCGCTCCATTTCCCTCTAAAACCGTGCAGAATAGTTGCATATAAACATCGAGTGATTTGCAGAAGACTGAGCCAAAGTGTGAGCATTGTGAGACAGAAATCTGACCTTCAGGCAGTGGTCTGCATGCTGTCAGACCACAAAGTACAGCTTGTAAGGCTCCACTGCAAGTGCACAACAGTAGGACACTCCAACGTTTAAAGAAAAAACAAAAGCAGTCAGAACAGTGCCGTCTTTGAGCTAAGAATTACCGAGGCATGTGAGTCAGCGGGTACACCGAGCTCTTTGTCCTTAATGGAAGGTTACAATTGGAATTGGATCAGCGTGGACCCGATAACACCTGCTATGTTTCCAGTTTGTCATGCATGTATCATAACAAATAAATGCCCCAGTATATTCTTAGTCAGATGACAGCGGCTGCGTATACACACACCTCTGAGCATGCATCATGCGTGCTGCAGTAGGCTCACATTGGTTATGGTGACACAGCACCCATATACAGCAAGGTAATGCACATGTGCATAAAAGACTTTCCAAAAGAAAACCAAAAGCACAAAATGAATACAAAACAAGAGCAGACCAATGATGACATCAAATAGGTTGTTGTAGAAATATCAGCTTGAGAGGGTGTCAGGGGGAGGGGCTCAGCGTGGGGACCTGGAAGCTTTTAGTTTGATTTAGCTCTCCACCAAGGACCGGGCCTTTGCTTGTTTTGTGTTGTTTTTTTGTTATTTTTTAAGATCGTTTGTTTTGTTTTGTTTGTTTGTTGCGGTAATGTCTCTGTCTTTTCTTTTTCGTTCTTTTAGTAGGGAGTGAAGCGACTGTACCCTCCTCTGTATAGGCTAGCCTGCAACATCAAAGATGAAAAAGTACCAATCAGTATTCAGGTGACAGCTTTAGTCCGTTTCTCTTTTTCACCACAAATTTCCTTCCTTTTTCCATGAAAGTTATTTCTATATGTCGGAATGATGAGTTTCCATACGGGACCATCATTAGTGGGGTTGGACATGTTAAGCCAATCATTGGAGTGTGTGTTAGGAACAGGGTCATTACTATTTAGGATGCATTTAACATGGAGTTTAATTGGGGAAGAGCAAAAAAGAAACACTGGGCCATCGCATTTTAATTTCTTTAATTAATTTCTTAAGGGAATTAAAACATATTGTTTTTTCTACTTATGAAGACTACATTCCTATCTAGGGCAGAGACACATAACGCCTGCGAGTGGGCCTATGCATGCACGCACGCGCACACACACACACACACACACACACACACACACACACACACACACACACACACACACACACACACACACACACACACACACACACACACACACACACACACACACACACACACACACACACACACACACACACACACACACACACACACACACACACACACACACACACACACACACACACACACACACACACACACACACACACACACACACCTCATCTTCCTGTGGCTCTGCTGCAATTAGGGATTCAGACAAACTCCAAAGGCTACTGAATGTCTTCAAAGGCTAATTTTGCCTAATTTCGGGGAGTCCTCTCTCTGGTGCGAAACTTTCATACGAGACGCTTCTGCACTCTGGAAGTGAGTAAAGAGAATCTCAAACCTTAATCTCAGAGGAACTCATTATTGTATAGCTTTAAAATGCAAAAATGACTCCTCTCTGCTGGAGAACCATTAATCAAATATGATTAAAGAATTAAGAACCACACTGCTCCTTCTCTCCGGCCCATGAGTTCATTGGATGTCGGCCCTCAGCACAGCCTGTCTCCCAGTAGCCCTGCCATTTGTTCAACACCAAACCCCTGCCCCCCACCTCCTCCTCCCCCTCCCCCTCTCGAGTCCGTGTTAGCTCCCTGGTCTCCTAACACACACAACATGAGGTATTTTTAGTTGGTCAAAATCTTCTACTTTGGTTGAGAGGAAACAATCAAAGTGTCAGACAAATGGAAGGAAGTTTGGAGGAAAAAGAAGAAAGAATAAAAAACATTCAAGCACATTTTTTATTAATTAAGTAAATCAAGAGGAAAAAGAAATGTCTTAATTAATGAAAGCTTTTAGCTAGCAGCTGCACCGGGGAACTGTACGCACCTTTTTGTTCATTGTCATGTTAGTGAAAAATCGCATGCATGCCGGAACTGCACATTTGAGTCATTTCTCAAGCTGAGAGCACGCTTCGGAACAAGCTTGTGGGCACCAGGGGGAAGGCGAGACAACTCCCTCCCCCTCCCCCGCTCTCTGTTTTATGTCCCACGGCACACTGCTGCATGCGTTTGAAGGCCCTTAATCTCTAGGTTTGTTTTTTGTGAGCCCGGTCCCATCTCCTCTTCATCATCAAAACTAAAAAAGAGAAACTCTCTCTGTTTAAAAAAAAAAAGAGGCTCTTTTATTTATCATCACTTTTCATCTTTGATGTTACAGTAGCTGCAAAAGCTAGCTAAAAACAGACATTAACAATTCAACCTCATGCCTTCAAGTTTGGTTGGACTGAATGGAAAGTAAAGAAGATGATCCACTCTGTAGTGAGGTGTGTCGGATGAACAGAATGCTGGGAAATGTAGTTGTGTTAAGATGCAACGTTTGGGTTCGGAAACAAAAACTGCAATAAGCACTCATTCTCATTTCAGGAACACATGTCAAATTCATATTGCATGGGGGGGGGGGGGGCATGACATACAGTATGTTATGTATTAAGGAGCCTATTTCAACATGCATTACCACTGAGCTCCACTAGGGTGTGCCAGATAGCGTGACACAAATCAATTGATGAATAAATACACAAATAAAGACCAGTGATTGCTGCAGTCTCTGGTCTTTATTTTTGGAATCGAGAGTGTGTGTGTGTGTGTGTGTGTGTGTGTGTGTGTGTGTGTGTGTGTGTGTGTGTGTGTGTGTGTGTGTGTGTGTGTGTGTGTGTGTGTGTGTGTGTGTGTGTGTGTGTGTGTGTGTGCGCGCTAGCTGGTGTCGTGGTGTTTCAGACAGGGTGCACGCAGAAATACAGGCGGTGGCCTCAAAGACTCACCATAGTCCCCACACTGTATGTGGCTGCGGGGCCAATCGTGTGGTGGTAGGGGTCTGCCGTTGCATAGACTCTGCCATAGCTGCACAACAGGAGGAACAGAAGAAGACAGTCATTGATCTATCATTGACGAGGAGAGCGGAACATTTATGCATGCTTGTTTAATGCTCGAGCCCTCGAGTCAACTCTTTCAAGTCTCTAACACAATCAATTATTTCCCCCCCGGCCTCCTGGGCTTCCTGCATTATACAAGGTGGTTCAAAAAGGGGAGTTCAAAGGTGGCTGAATTATACTTGTCTTTTCATTGTCATCTTGATTAGGTGCAAGGAATGGGTAATGAGCAGGGAGAGAGGGAGGCGGAGACACAGAAAGAACGAGAAGGAGGCTGCAGGGCTTGGTCTCTCACCCTGTTCTTGTTTACCCAGAATGCACACTGGGCTCACGCCCTGTCTTTTCATTGTTGCTGGTTTGGAACTAATCCTTCCAATTTCCTTCTGAGACAGGACAAGATGTGTCTGCCTCATTTACTTATTTATTCGACTTCACATATTCCTCTATTTACTTTCCTCCGGTTTTTTTTCTCCCCTCAATGCCTGCTTGCAAATGAGGGTCTGCACGGAGCAGATAAGGCACACCCAGCCAAGGACTGAGGGCACCAACTCAACCAGGAATACAACGGGAGTGGAGAGAGGAGAGGAAATTCTCCTAAAGGAAACAACAAGACATACAGCCGCTCATGCCTCTCACATTGACTTATATAAGATCTAAATATGGCTCGGTCCATTTACGTCCGGCAGCACCCAAGGTCAGTGAGCAGGACGTGAAATCAGAAAAGGCTGCCTCGGCTCCTTGGGGAAGAGGCCGGCGCCATGAGATGGTCAGAGGGAGTCTCCATGGTCCTCTTATCTTCACTGAGCACTGAACCCCACAGGCCCTCTAAGGCTAATATATCTACAAAATGACTCTCACCAGAGTGGCAGTGCTGACGCCTGGCAGGTCAAACCACCCAGCACAAGGTCGCAGAGCCTCCACAGAGCCATATGGAGGCCGGCAGGGTCTCCACAATGTCACTGGCTCCTCTCTAGGCTTCTTAGATACATCACGCCCACTGCTATGAACCGTAGAGGTGCTTAAAGGGGCTTTGGTAGTGCAGCCTGTGAGCACTGCAGGAGGCTTTCCAGATAATAAATGTTTCATATTTTTCAGGGGGTTTCACACGCCTTCCTCAATCCTGGTGACCTCTTTTTATGATTGTCTACGGTTAAGTCTGATAAGGTAAACAATAGCAACAAACCCCTATTGATCCAATGGGCCGCTTATTCAAAAGGATACAAACAAAACAATCAAGTTGAGGGCGAATTACTTTAAATCTCAGAGGCAAGAAAAACAGGAATTAAATCACTCTGAGAGAAAAAAAAAAGAAATCCGCTGTCCAATTTCTGCTCTCGCCGAGCACGGCTGCTCATAATTCGAGCCGCGGCGACGGCCTGATAAATCTTACATTATCGATATGATCTTCAGGCTCTCAGGCAGGGTGTACGTTATCACAAGTGACATGCTCAATCCTTCCCAGATTAGATTCCCAAACCAGCCCACAACCCCGGCTGACAACGGCTTTCAGGGGCCGAAATGAATCAGCGACGCCTCCTCAAACGGAGCACACCTGAACCAGAGTGACATCGCTCAGAAGTGATAGAGCTCCTGCCGGTCCATCTCTCCCCCGCTCTCTGTCTCTCCACCTCCCCTCTACAGACCTGAGGCCATTCATAAATACCGCAGTGATATACCCACTCTCCCATCACAAGCACAGAGTCACAACATATATCACGGCTTTTCTCATCCAGTCCAACAAGGTTAGTCCTTCTTTTTTTCGGTGTGTGTTCTTTAGCTCCGAGCTAAAAAGAATATGACGGTTTGCCTAATAGATAACTGGAGAGGTGGAAAAAAAAAAAAAAAAAGGAACCCGGAATAACCTCCATAGAATATTACAAAAGTGCAAGAGACGATCATTCATCACACACATTCTCCCACGACGATAGTTGTTTCTTTTGGGAGGAAAGCACTGTAATTGCTTAAAACTAAAATCCACTCTCTGCTACTTCTACGTTGCTCGATATCATTCTGCTGTATTCTCAACACTCGGTTTCCTTCAATCGTCCTCATCTGTTTCTACTCCAGTCTGTCATGTCCTCCATTTGACAGCCTGCAGGATCAACTTGTTGCTTTAAATGGAAGTTCCCATTAACAAAAAGAGCTTGTCGAACACGGTGCGGAGTGTCTATCATTTCACTTTATTGAGCAATACGTTTGGTATCTTCTGCTTATAGGGCAGGGGGGGGGGGGCAATATCTGCCTTCTCTAGGATCTCTGTTTTACTGAACAAAATAGAACATTAAAGGGGCCCTGTTATGATTTGGGTTGTTTCCTTTCCTGTAGTGTTAGTGTAGTTATCTAGGTGTTATTCCTGCTGTGTGTTGTATAGGTTTGTATACTGTGCATGTCAATGGTCTGCAAAGGCAAACATCCCTGCGTTCCCTCCAGAGGGAGTTTGAAACGCCTCCATTGGACTACTTTGTTTACTTCTGTAACATAGTGACATCACCATGTAACACCCGCTAAGGGGCGGTACATCTCTAAGCGGCTGAAAAATCACAACAGAGCCAGCCAGCTAACCAATCAGAGCAGACTGGGCTCTGGTTTCAGACAGAGGGTGAAAGGAGGTGCTGATGAGAGTGAAGTATGAGACAAATAAAGACCGTTTTGAAAATGTAAAGCATGGAGACATTTCCCAGTAGAACCACTAAGCACACGTATGAACCTGAAAAGGAGCATAATGGGGCTCTTTTAAAAAGTATATAAAGAAATAATAACAACATCTTACTCTGATGATGTATTTTGGAGTGTTTCTATGACCCCTGGGATCACACAATGTTTCATGCATTGGTTTCTGATGCCATCTGGGCCTAATGCAACACCTAATACATGTAGAAGTCCTGGGTTACAATTTACAATTCTGCATAGGAAGGTTCCTAACGGAGTGAAATGACCCGGAAGTACTTTAGTGGCAGCCATGATAAGAGCTGTTCAGCTTTTCTAGATGATAAGGTAAGGAGTTTCAATGCTTCCTTCATAATCTAGTTTAGTTAGTTTAGTTTATTTATTTTTTTCGAGCGTGTAAAACCAAAGAAAATACAAATGAAACAAAAGGTGATACAGACATGATACAGTACTATACAAATGAATGCAATAACAAAACGAAACATTTAAATAATAATTGAATAATCTGCAGTATCATTGTCTGATATCAATAAACAATAAACAACAAAGCTTTAGCTAATTACACGTCCGAAAAGGGGTCGGAAGAAGTTTACACTTATTTAATCCGACCCCTTCTCCCTTTTTTATTTTTATTTTTATTTTTATTTTTTTACATTAACATACAATATAAACGTATACTTATAATCTTGAATAATTGATATAATATATAATATAATAATATATAATATATACAGGCAAGTTAGGACAATGGTCTCTATATATTTATATATATATATACATATATATACATACACAAATTCATACAAACACATATTCATAAATAAAATACAAAACAAGAATACAAACAGTTATGGTTTAGCAGTTTCATCTATCATGTACCTTGTGAGAATTGTGTCTTTATACCTCTTTTTGAATAGTTTTATGTTTGGACATCCCTTTAGCTCTTCACTCAAATTGTTCCAGATCTTCACCCCACAAACAGAAACGCAAAAACTTCTCTTTGTTGTGCGCACCCTAACATTAGTGAATATAAATGAACCCCGTAAATAATGATTCCCTTGTCTTTCATTGAATCTCCTTTACCTTAGGATACACTTCTTCAACACTTGTTCAACATGTTTGAATGGTGAAATACTCAGCGTTAGAGCTGGAGGCCTAACAAGTTATGCGTTTTTGCAACAAATGTATTTTTGTTTCAACTCCAACCTTGGTAATGAAGAATATATTTATCACTGTCCAAAAGCCTGCATGAAACAAAACCATAAGTGTGCATGGGGGCAGGTCCGGATGAAGTTCTGATGAATTGTCCTAACATATTTACTTAACCCCATGATGTTTTTCCATGAAGTTAAGGCATAGTGGTTAGGAAATGATGATTGGAGCTGGGTTTTTTTACGATTCGACTGCAACCCTTATGGTACCTTACGGTAAATAAAGAATGGATGAAGGGATTCTCACCTGTCACTGTAAGCAGCGGTGGTGGCGGGCTGGGCAAATCTGTATGCTGCATATCCTCCCTGTAAACATAGCAACGTGTTAATCAATAATTAAACACACACAGAGAAAAGGGTAGATCTCACAGACACAAACAAGAATTCATACACAGATTGCCTTAAATGTCACCGCAGTGTATCTGCTTGCATGTGCAACGTCGGACACCAGAGGGCGCTGTTTGATGTATGAGGCAAGTGGTGGCAAAAGGGGGATGAATGAGAGGCAGCAGATTGGAGGGGGGTCAGTCATTGTCAGCAAGAGCATAACAAGAGGCCACGTGAACCAAATATTTTAGATTGAGGAAGCGCAGCTGCTACATTATTGAAGAGACCCTTTTACCTATACAAGACCCCCTCGGCTCACAAATTAGGTAAGAAGGCAGGAGACGGCCGGACCGTGGGGGAGTCAGGACCGCTGGGGAGTCAGGACCGCTGTATTCATTTGCCAGAGTGGGGAAGGAATTAAAGACCTCATTGTGGAGTGCTGCTATTACTCTCTTTGAGAAATGAAGCTGTTCTCCCACTGTTTTTCTATTAGTGCCAGTGGAGTGTGTGCCCATCTGCGTCTATACCGTGGATAGGTGGCTTTTAATAATGCATGTTTTCATTCATTTTTAAAACTCACGGGGGGAAGACGTCCGACGGAGAGTGGTGCAGGGAGGCAGCGGTGCGGTGGTTGCGGCGGTTGCGGCTGCACGTGAAAAAAAAATCAGGTCAGGGGCCGCGGCGAGAGAATCCCACTCCACGCACAGGAAGTCCCAGCACTCGAGGCAGATGACTTCCTGTGGGACAGCCATGCCTTGGGACTGCGCTGATTACAGCAACAGCCTGAACAAACACGGACCAATAAATCACTCTCCCACATTGTCAAATCCTGCACACAACAGTGCAGCACATTTGTTATTTCGTCGTGCCGAGTGCGTGTTTCTGCATTCATGTATGTATGCGCTTCCACATTGAGGTGCATGCATGCATATATATAAGCACATGCGATGTATGTAGAGTACATTTATACGCAGCCAGTTTCTGCTAATGTCAGCGAGTCATTTATTTCCAAAAAGGAAGCCTAGACGAATCAGCTTGCTGGTTTTGACAGCAGGACAGTGTCCACTGAATGATTGTGGAGGACACTGAGGGCTGAGGGACGGCTTCCTCTTGGTCACTCGAGGCCTCCACGCGCACTCAGACAGTCTGAAGCAGTGCAGTGGCCAGTGCCAAAACTAATGGCAGTAAAAGCACCAGGGTCTGGCGTGACGGGTTGAGTGATGGAGCGACCTGGCCGGGGGCCGTGGTCAGGGGACATCTGGGTGCAGGACTTAGCTGGAGGTGGCTGAACGAGTGCGAGAGGCAAACAATATCACTCAGAGCACAGCCCGGGTCTCGCCTATGGTGGTGGATGTCACTACAATAAAAAGCAGTGAAATACAGTCCTATCATGTGGGCTGGTGTGTAAGTGATATATCACCGGGGTTCAGCAACCGTGCTCCCAGACACTGGGCAAAAGTGAGAGGCAACTGTCATGTCGCTATCTCGGCAGACGGGGGGAAAAATAGCGGCAGAATAAAAGGGACAAATTACATCCCCTCCGCAAACGTTTGGACGAATGTCAAAGTGGGGCAGCGTGGTAATTTCAGCATTATCTCCACAGCGACCATGCTTTTCTCTGTCAAGGGCGACGTGCAGCAGGGCCAACCCCCGATATGACCCTGCCTGCACGGACAGATCCAGAGGGACGGCTAATCCCTTTATCTGCTGCCGCTCCTCTTATCTCCCACATGGTGATGGCCTGCGCGAGACCCCCCTGCGGCATGGCAGGGATATCCCGTCCAAACCCTTCGGATTGAACACACAAACACAACACGGAAGAGAAGAAGGAACGAGGAGAGTAGAGGGACGAGCCACCTCAAAAACGCAGACAAATCTAAAGTGAGAAATGACCTGACTTGACACGGGACACTGAGCCTGGGTTCTGCCTCTTTGCCAAAGTCTGAGATCATAGGAAGGGAGAAGGGAGAAGAGAGAGAGAGGGAGGAGCAGAGGGGGTTTTAAATGTGGTTGTTGGGTTTCTTGGCACAGCAGACAGAGGCCTAATCGACGCCGGCTTGGCAGCGAGGCTGGGGGAGCGCTGCGGGCTGAGGAGATCACGTTTTTGTCTCCTGGGCTGGGCTTTTTGTCTGCTTGACTTCTGTTTCATCTAAGCAGGCAGGAGGAAGAGCCAACTGTACTTACATAGATCTCTGCACCATAGAAGCCATCTTGGTACACCACCCTGTGAAATGAAAGAAACACGGAGCATTAGTTTCCGAAAACCCCCCTGAATCTCAGCCCTACACCTATGTCCACCATTTGAGGGTCTGTGGGGTCAGCTCTTTGCAGCTTCACTGTGCTGAACCACAAATACTGAATGACACATTAAAGGAAAAAGTGCAACCGTTTCACATCCCCGTCCAATGTTCTGCTCTGGTCAAATTGTTTGTCTTTCCAGTTGCTGCAGTGTTGTCGAGAGGTGGTGGGGAGAGAAGGGGAGGGGAGGACAAAAGAAGGCAGCGGAGGAGCTCCATCACATGACTCCGCTATATAAATCAACCAGCTGCCATCAGTAGCGAAAGGGCCCTGGAGTGGGAGGGAGGGCGAAATAGAGCACGTGGGATTTTCTAGACCGAGCTTGGACAGCAAGTCTCTCCCTGCAAGTAAGACGGATCCTGATCTAATCACAGATAGACAGCTATAGTGGGCCCTGGGCTGGCCCCCGTCAGACCTCTCCCACGGCCACACAGACCACTGCTGATAAGAGCGAGTGTGAGGCAGTGGCTGCACAAAGCCAGGAGATCAGCATAGACCCTGGTCACAGTCCAGTGAGATCTGCCCAGTAATACGCTATCTGGGCTCTCTGCAGCTCTCTGCAGCTCTCTGCAGCTCTCCCTGTGGCTTTGTTAGCTCCTCGCTTGTCAATAGTACAAACATAAGGATAGGCAGAGTTAAGGGATGAACATACCTAGATAGCAACAATGATTTTACCCGCCGAAGGAGTACAACCCCTTTGAGACAAACAGAGTAGAATAACATAAAGGGGGAATAATTGAGTAAGAGGACAGCAACACCTAGCGACCAGTGTTATTATTTGAACACGTTTAAAGAGGCCCTTTTAAGCTGTTGGTTTCTTTTTCTTTCCTGTACTGTCATGTAGGTGTGTGTGTACCTTTATCCCACATGTCTTAGCACACTGAAATGCCTCGATTGGACTCCTCCATTTCCGTAACATGTCACACTAGGCCCAAAATACTAATATGAAACAAAAAATGTGCATAAAATGTCAACTTTAAATAACTATAATGAATAATGACTAAAAATGTCACAAACCCTTGTGGAGGAAGTGTTTCCTTTTTGAAATGTGAATGTATGACTGGCACACCTACATTCAGTATGTAAGACTGCAGCATGTGCATCCAAACATAATTGGAGCATGACAATCCTACAGCAGCAACACGACGAAAACACTGAGCGCTGTCTGAAGTGCTCATCGTGGTTGTTTTCAGCATGCAGGTGAGAGACTCAATACTCACGCTCCGTAAGCTGGGATGGGTGGTGGGGGTGGAGCTGTGCGGAACGTGTTGTACACGGCCCGCCCTCGACCTCGCAAGTGGGCACCCCTATAGGCCACGGTAGCGCCTGTGGCAGGGTAGGGAAACCCTGTTACTACGGAGAAGGAGAGAAAATGACTTTCAGAAAACATCCTCCACTTGGCATTGCTTACCTTTTGACAGAATACATTAGAGAGAGACGTGTGGCACTGCTTTGCCTATGACAGAATGCATTATGGGGAAGACAAGGAAACAATAGATTTAATCTTTTCTAGGTGCGCCTCATCGAGCACTCTCCCCTTTCCCAGCTCGCTGCTTTGTGCCGTACTCAGCAAGGATCCACATTTGCTGTACGCATCCTTTCCTGGTGCCTGGCGAGGGGCAGCCTTGAAGCAGAGGCAGGTAATGGATGCAATACCACTAGTTTCGCACCACGGCTTTTGCATAGTTTCCACACAATGGGCTAGCAGCGAGGAGAACAGTGGGAGGGTGGACGGGGGAGAGGTAGAGGGCGTTTCTAGGTTTTTGGCTACAGTCGAATGGAAGGTTGTTGAACAACCCGACTAGATGATCGGAACCTTCCCCAAGGGAAAGTGGAGCAGATGGGCTGGACAGCCAAGGCCCAAACCTCAGCATCACCCCATCCCAAACCCATCTGGGACCATCTTTGGCCAATCACAAGGCCACATATGTCCTCTGCTGACGGCTACCAGTGAGTGAGTAGGGGTTGTGGTTAAAGGGCTTCAGCAAGGGTTGGTGTGATGGTGAGCAAAATGCCCGCGGTCACAGATCATTAGAGGACAGGCGATTGTGATCCTTCGCTCTCTACTTAACCTTCAATCAGTCCAGTGGCTGTCTGATTACAAGCGATGGAGGTGCATACAAACACAGCCATCTCTAGACATGATTAAGTTGGCCTCCTCCCTTCCAGCAATCGAAATATCCCTCACATCCCCCTTCCCAGGTTCTTTACCCCCCCCCCACACCCATGCCTAGTCCATCAAAACACAGTCATCCCCATTATTCATCATCCCCAGCGACGCCCTCTCATCACCCTCCCCTCACCTTATTATTCTTTATTCATTTCCATGACATGTTTTCGGTGAATTCATCACAGAACGCTTTTCAATCAGACATGTGAAGAGGAGCTCTGGGTCTGGCCTTGTTGGTGTGTTGGGGGGGGGGTTGGGTGCTCAGTTGGGGTGACTAGCACAGGTTAATAACATGTATCCGATGTGTTTTAGATGGACCCGCTGCCACCAAGGCGACAGCAGGCAGTCCCTCTCAATGGCAGACGAAGATGCAATGAAGATCCATGGTGGCTAGTGTACGAATCGGTGGCGTGCAGGGAGTGACGGGCGGGCGTTGCCGTGCCGTGTGCAGAGTGTGACCCTGCAGGTGGACGAGGCCAGTGAACACCCTAATGAACGATGCACACCCCAGCCCCGCTGCCTCAATAAAGCTGACAGGGAGACAGATTAGTGGTGCTTTTAAAAACACAGAGAGCCAGGTTTAATGTCTTCTGCCATTAACATCACGCTCCATTAGTGGGTCTGCACACATATTCAAACTCTGCGACTTATTTGGCCAGGTAACACCCCCCCCCCCCCCGTTCAACGCACACACTAAGGTGCACAACACTTTGTTTGCTGCCAGCGTACCAATAGTCTAGCCTGGACTCGCAGGGTGCCCCCTTTCCCCCAAGTGATTTATAATGCTGACCTTGACATTTAAATTAGTCTCTTTTTTTGAAGCAGTGGACATCTGAGTGCGGTTTGCTAAAGGGCAAAAACAATCCTCTTTGATAGTTTCCGAGGTGTTTTTTTCCTTCTCTTCTTAACAAATCGCTACTACACCTAGGCCCCAGAAAGTCCAATCCTTTATTTTTTGGAAATTTGTATGCAATATGCTTGCGGTGATGTATGTGAATGTAAACTTATAATGAGTTGGCGATAGGCTACACTGCTTCAATAATAACCCATAAATCAAAGGCACTGTCACACCTGGGTAAGCCCGTGAAAAGCAACAACAGCTACGGTGTATGAGAGCACAAACCTGGTCTAGCCACCAAAGTCAAACACCTTTTTCCAGGAGGGGGGAGGGAGGGGGGAATGGAGGAAATATGAGTTATGCGCTGGAGGGCGGCAGGGTCACGCTGCACCTCATATGTCATATGTGTCAACCTGGGAGAAGCTCAATACCTGCAGAGCCAGTTGGACCTGAGGTAATCCAGCTCTGTGCCAATGATGGGGTCATAACCGGCTCCCATAAAGAAAGATCTGATTTTCCACAAGGTTGATCTCTCTAATACTTCCTGCTCAAACACATCGGGCAACGAGCACTTAATCCACGCACTGGGGACCGAAAACAGCTTAATCTAATCAAGAGTCTGGAGCTTAATTATCCCCCTAACGTACACTCCAACAATGAAGGGATCTGTCTACTTATAATAAGCAATTAGCCTTTCTTTTCTGTCATTTATACAGCTGCTAGCTTTACACAAGTACTCAAGAAAACTCCACCTTAGTAGCAGAAACTGTGAAAAGCTACTTGTCTCCATAGGAATCAGCTGCAGAGGAGAGTCCCTCTCTGTTAGCCTGAGGGGAACTGGCCATATGAAGGGATTTCTAAGTGGCAGCTGTCCATGGTGCTGAACACATCCAACAAGAGGAACAATCCAGATAAGTCGGCCAATTGTTGTCAAAAGAGCTAAATAGTGCAAAATGTATCTGCCTCTCAATGCTTTTTACACTTTAATCCATCCTTTGATGTGTCATTTTTGTCAGCAATTGTTTTTTTTAAATAAATGTTGAAAAAATTAAAATGAATGCCAATTAAAAGTGATTTTAGGCCTACAGATCTGCATCTCTGCATGTGCACGTGTAAATACTAATATGCATGACTTATTTAAACACATTTCCTGTTCATTTCTGTGCTAGCTTTAGCTTCACACACAATCACTGTATGCATCATTTTAACTGTAAGGTGCACAGGTGCCATTAAGCCAATACAAGGGACCAGGGAAAGGGCAGACAGATGGTCGTTGTTAAGTATAGATGTACCTATATATATATATAGGAGTTAGTGCAGGACTAAATCTGGGGTTTGTTCTACAAAAAGTGTTCCAGATCAGCGCACAGTAAAGGAGGACAAAGGTGAGCACAGATCCTGGATGCCATGATTTGTCTCATTGCTATGTTTTTATTGCCAATACCTCCATTTGACTGGGAATCCAATCACCCTGCTCCTTTTTCCAGGCTTCCGGGGGAGTTTTTAGGTGGAAGCAGAGGATGTGGACTCCCCACCCCCCCCCACTTCTCCATCAGTAGGAGGAGCCAATCTACCCTGGAAGAGGTTAAGAGCGGGGAGCCGGCGTGAGGCTCTCATCCGTCATTCTCCTGAATGGGTTTTGAGGACAATAAACCTGTAGCGCCAGGACGAATGGAGACGAAGTGTGCTGTCACCGAGCCAGGATTTATGGCTCCCAATTTCACTGATCTCCCGCACAGAAATGAGGACTGATAAACAGTGATTAATCGCCTTTATATCCCATTTTACTCCCACCAAAAGTATATTAACTGTAGCTATGATGATCCTGGAGTATGTCCTGAATCCTGTGATGTTCATAAGGTGGGAAGTAGTCAAAAAGCATGATCTGTTTTTTTTTTTTTTTTTTTTTTTTTCAGAGCTAAAGCGGCCTTTTGCTGCTCATTAGGGCGGTTTGTTTAAAAAATGTATCTCTTATTTATGTATCCCATCTTCCCAGCTGGCAAGCATATGTTGTCGTTTAGGCTTGGCAAACTCCAGTGCCATGTCAAGACGACTTGAAAAATTAGCAGCCAATAAATCACCCAACCCCTCCTGCTTCCCCTGCCTGGAGTGGTGGACCACACTCCCTCTGATTTATGAGATGATTTGGGAAGTGTGTGTGTGTGCGTGAGTGTGTGTGGGTGCAAAACGGAGAAAGTGTGCACAGAAGCGGGGACATGTATTAGTGTCTGTGTTCTACATAGGTTATCTATTTCTGTATGCTGGAATGCTTTGGTCTGCGTGAAAAAACAGGGGGCAGTGTTGTGAGCATATAGGTCAGTGAAATGACTGTTTACATAAGTTACTTAATGTCCGCATGTGTAATTTAGTGACATTTTTCCCGGTACCTGTTTGAGCACCTTCGAAGGGATGTGTGTGTGTTTATGTGCGTGAATAATTATCAGGGGAAGATGTCGAAACCGAGGGAGTGTTAGGGGGGAAGGAGGAGGCAGGGGAGGAGGCACGGAAGGGGTGAGGGGTTGGGGATGAAATAAAAATGATAGATGACTGCTTTCTGTCATGGACAGTTATTTAGAGGTTCGCCGTAAAGCTGTCCGGGGAATGAACAGATTTTAGTCTAATGAGCAGAAAGGAAAGCCGTTAAAGTGGCGCGATGTGCTCAGCACTTCTTCCAAATGAAATAGTACCATTTCCCCCTCATTAAAATGCAAAGGGTTCATATAACATACAGCAATAAAGCTGGCATGTCGAGGCAGAGAGAGATAGGGAAAACCCCACTGAGCTCATCTCATTCCTCCATTACGGAGAGCAGAAGGAATAGCGGCCTTCGACAGGGTAGGTGCCAACAATATCGCTCACTCAATCTCCCTTATTCGGTTAGCTCTGTAAAAGTCAATCTGGCGCACTTGGCAAATCCATCCACAGCAGCAGCCTCCACAATCTGATAACAGTTGCAGGGGCGCCTGCTCTTGAAATCATTTTTTTTTCAGCTTTACAGTTGCACACGGCGCAAACAATGGCTCAGGCTCCCTCAGCCACTCAGAGAAGCTTGGATCATCCACTGCTTATCTGCCACGCTCTCAGATTCACTTTGATTTGAGGGGAATTTCATGTTCAGTAGGTGCAGGATGAGCCCGATTGTAGAAATTCATGGGTCAGATCGGGATTGGTTGTGGCTGAAAGTGGCCTCAGGTATGGTGCGGCGCGTGAGGTTGGAGAGGGAGGGAAACAAACACTCAACATTCAGAGCTGCACACGCTGTAAGTTCTCTTACCGGCATACAGTTCAGGGCCGTAGACAGCTCCCACCACTGGATTCAGCTTCCAGCCTGGTGAACGGAAAAAGTAAACTCAACTGAAAATGAGAACGAAAAACTTGATTATTTTGTAAGTTTTACGATACTGTCTGGAGCTTACCGTTCGTGTAAGGGTTGGCCACTTTTTTGTTTGTCATCACTCGTGCTGTTGCGTTGTTCACCTGTTCAAAGCAACACAGACTGTTATCACCCACCTTCACACTCACAACCTCTATATATCGAGCACGGGCAAAAAGCAAGCAGCATACCAAGACAAATAAAGAGAAATTCATAAAAAGATAAAAAAATGTAGCACTTTGGTGTGAGTTTGGCTCACCCGTGCATGAATGTATTCATCATGCCTTACGTATTACCAAGTTATTGTGAATTGGGGGGGAAGGCATGCACCAATTACCCACAGGTATGAATACAAAAAAACGTTCAGAGTCAGTAATTGGTTGGATAAACAAATGAATTCCAAAAGAAAAACACAGACAGTTTTTAGATTTTCTTCTATTGACCTGATGAGAATGACTCGGGGGGGGGGGGGGGGGGGGGGGACTCGGCTCATCGTAAACAAGAGCAGGCAATACTAAACGATGGTGTCAAGACTTCTCAGATTCGACAGGAACCCAGAGGATGATGGCATGCATTCATTCTGCATTTTCAGGTAATGATGGACAAGTAGCGTGTCCACGTATGGACCCCACATTCCACTCAAGTAATATGCACCATTATGCATGCATGTTTCCAGGCGCACAGGGATGCAAATATCCACACACGTACACACGGCATCCACATGCTAATGAATGGCTTTGTGGGTCAATTTAGAAGGCAGCAGGCAGGAAGTAGAAAATGATGGTTAAAAGAGGCGGGGGGGGAAAAAGGAAAGCACCTCTATTTTGCGTCCCTCTACGATTGTACCATTTAGTTTCTCCCGCGCACGATCGGCATCTGTGCTTGTTTCGAAAGTTACAAACCCAAAGCCCTGAGAGAGCCAGGTTAGGATAGAGAAAGGAGAGTAGGAAAGGATGGACACACACACACACACACAGAAAAAAAGAAAGGGGAGAGAGGGAAAAAAAGAGGTGAGAAGACAGGAGTAGCAGCAGCAGCGGCGGCGGCGGCAGAGTCGAGTTGTAAGCAGCCAGATTAATTAGAGGCAGTTAGTGAGGCGTCAGGAAACAGCAAACAGAGAGATCCGAGGAGGAGAGGATAACGGTGACATGACCCCGCACAACAACACCAACAAACCTGCCTGCTTTACCCAATTAAACGCCACGGCACCTGTGCCACGGGTGGATGTCAGGAGGCAGCGGATGCAAAACGCTGTGTTAGCTGCCATAATAGTGGTATCATTATCGACGCACATTTTGGGCAGCGCGGTCGCTCAAACGAGCCCCTTTGAAGACGTGGGAGAAGGAGTGAATGAATCCTTGGGGGGACATGTTAACCTGATCTTTCACTATTTGTAATTCACTTCTCTGAAAATGACAAAAAAGTGAATGGTGTCGCCGCAAATACCATCCATCTGTGATAAAGATATTGATTTACACCCTGACCAAAATATACCTTGCATTTCTACCCCCCCCCCCCAAAATAAAATCCTCCCCCCTCCCTTCTTCCCTGGGGGGGGTTTGTCACTTCCTTGAGTTATGTGGACTGGGACACTGGACCTGAGCTCTACAGCAGCAGCAGCAGCAATGAGATATGCCGGCCAAGTCCCATTCCTTTGGTTTCTATATATACTTATAGAGGTATAGGCTAGAGGGGGGGGGGGGGGGGGGGGGAGGGGGGCATGGCCGGCGCTGCCTGATAATTGCTTGAGGATGTAATACATGTGAGAGATGGCGAGCGGCGTGATCTCGTATGCATACACAGGATCTCAGAGGTTGCTATTTCCAGCATAAATAACACAAGACCTGTCCTTGGGGGGAAGAGAGATAAAGAAATAAATTCAAAAAAGGAATTGAGGGCAAAATTAATCCTTTGGACATTCACCCGACTGTTACCCCCTCCATTTTTTTTTCTTTTTTTTTATCATGCACAAATAATTAGCTTACAAGAGGGGCGAGTGGAGCCACCATTTTTCAAAGGAGACAAACATATTGAATGCAAATTGCCAAAGCTTCATAGGAAATAGATTGTTTATTAATGGCCTGGTAGGTTCATTATATAGCACACAGGGTGCGGGGAGAGAGAGAGGCATCATGGGTAATGGCTTTGTAGGGCACAAACAATAAATGCTTGTTACGGCGGAGGAGGCAGGTTTATCCGGTGCTCAATCTTGTCTGGCAGAGGGGGCTGAGTGCAGCGGCTCCCAGGCTCCCTGCATGCCTGTGTACCGGCCCAAACTACTCCCAGGTATGAATGGGAATCAATAGTATTCATGCCTCAACACCCAGCCAGGGATCCTGTCTCCTTTATGAATGGAAAGCTGTGGAGCTTAGTGCACTCTATTAAATGAACAGCTGGATGAGTAGCACTCGGCTGTTCGCACCACCGCGGGCCTCACCTGTCCATGGTAGGTGGTTAGGAGACTGATACTGCAGCACAATGCGGCGCTTTGGCTATGCTACTGCTGGGTTATTGGAGTTATTGCTTCAGGGCTTCGGAGTTTTTGACATAATCAAGATTAAGATTACAAGAAATACATTTTGTATTGAATATTTCCATGACTTTAAAGGATTGGGCTGTCTATATATTCTGTATTCTTGCATAATTCCATAAAAAGACCAAAGCCACAGTATTTCCTGTGCAGTCAGAGCGTGCTAAATGCTATTCCTCTGTGCCATTGTTGATTAAACACATAAAGGTCCCATCACAAACTCACAGTGTAGAATCATTGACAATTTCATATATTGTGGGCCGTCGTGTTGATGGAAATGTACACTGGAGGAACACATGTGGAATAATCCGCTGCTGAAAATAGTCCTCAACAGCAGCACTTTTGTTACTATTCTTTAAGTAACTAAAAACTACAGTTCCCAGCTTTGCTAGGAACATTTTAAGCCTTTACATTTTTCTTCTTTTTTTTTATCTGTGACCCAATTTGAACGACTTACAGCATCAATGGGAACAATTGGACTTAGAGCCGAAGAGACGGACTGACACATTGCTGGTTGTGGTCTTTTCATGAGCTTGTCCTTTAACTGGCTACTTAAAAAAAATCACATTAAATTAGCTTGTGTGTAGGCATTCATTAAATGTCCGAAAGCTCCCACACAGCAAACACGTGAGGTCCTGTTTGTCCAAAGCTTGAGCTGGAAGTAGGATTAGCCTTGGAATTGTATTTTAGCTAAACTAGCATTTATTTGCAAAACACCCCAGAGAACTCCTATAGTGAATTATAGTATATGTAAAAAACAAAATGAGAAAACCCTGAATAATGTAGGAGCAACACCCAGGCTTCAAACACCCACTCCCTAAACAAGGCGTCTCAATTCCATAAGCTTCAGGACCTGCAGCCTGCTGCTGGATTAAGTGAATTGTGAAACAGCTCAATAATGAATTGATTGACAGGGCTAATGATTCACAACTTGGGTTAGAGCTGCAACAACAAAAACAAGAGGGAGGGAGGGAGACGGAGAGGCATGATGGGATGCGGCTCTCCAGGACCAGGCTTAGGGACCACTACCCTCCACCAATGTACACACTACACTAATGCCATCATTAGGAAACAGAAGAAGTACATGGTAATGAAGCAGCTGGTGTTCTAGTTCACTTACCTTGGATCCTCGCTCATTAAAGATAATCTCCACATCTAAAATCTTTCCAAATTGCTGCGGAGAGAAAAGAGAAAGAGAAGAGGGGAGATGGAGTTAGAAAAGCCTCGGCGACCGCAAATTCATGAGAAGGACGGCTGGAGAAAGAAAAAACCATTAAGGCAATATGGAAATGTTACTTTTGTGAGGAAATGGTGGTCAATTTGCATTTGTTAGCTAGGCAAACAGTTCTTGAAGCTGGCTTGGCGTGCTTTAAAAAGAGAACCAGTAGCCGCTGCTTTAATGCGCTTTTGTATTTCGATACAATTTGAAATGAGATCACAGTAAAAAAGACTGGAACTTTGATTACATAGGAGCTTTTCTGCTGTTTGTTTTCCCGTAAACACCCACACAAAAAGCATCAGATTAGATTTTGAAGTTGAGATATGGAACCTCCTCCACCTTCATGATCAGCTGGGGAAAACTCTTCTGAGCAGATAACGGCGGATCAGACGTGAATAAACCTTTCTTTCCTTTTGATATTCCTCTCTTTCTCTGTCTTTGTTTGTGTGCTCTCACAGTCAACAGGACCTAAGGGGCCGGTCCCCGGGGGTTAACATGCTCCAGCCTTTCCATTTAAAGGCCTGCATTCGGATCATTAGAAAACAGAGGAATGAAAGTAAACTGTAAGTTCCTCTAATGAGTGGAGTGAGAGCGACTTTTAATTGCTGTCTACAATGGCCGTATTATTTCATTAAAAGTAATTACCCTGTCAAGCGGTCCGCGTCGCCTTCATTTCGGCACAACAGGGAAGAAATGGGCCTTCCATGTGGTCGACGCTCAATGGGAATGGATGGATCGTTTGACTGAGCCACTAATAGGGGTTAGGAGGAGCTGGCTATTATCTAGCTGAAGTGAGTGGCTTGAAGAGGTGAGGGTTTATGCGTTAGCACTTGAAAACGCTCCGAACACACTGACTTAAAGGGAAAACAGTGCTTGGTTGTTTAATTGCTCCTCTGTTTCAGCAGATTTCCTCCCCTATATAAACTATTCCATAGATCCTATCCGCACATCTGCCTCATATGGCGCTCAGCTCCATTGATTCGAATGGGAAGCATTGGCTCGATCACACACACAAGGCATTTATATCCCAGCGTGATGCCCCTTTCTCGCCTGAGATGACAATGCTTCCCCCACGCAATGTGCAGATGCTAATTGTTTTAACCGAGCGTAATGGGCTTGTGGCGTCGATTAATTAGTTTCAGTGGAAGTCGTCTTTCAGGGTTTCCACATGGCGCTGGGGACTGCTCGCTGCTCACCAGTGATCTCATGCACTCCTATCCCCACCCACCCACTCACTCACACACACACACACACAGACACACACACACACACAGAAACAGCTGCATCAGCAGAGCCGATAAACAATAGCTTCAATGGGAGGAGTCTCCAGAGGGACCAGAAAGAGTGACGTCATCTAAGAGGCTGCAGCTCGATCCGTCCATACATCCATACACGGCTGAGACGCTTCAATATCAATACGAAGATGCAGATAAGAGCAGCATGCTAAAAGACCATACCAGAGGGCGCTTGCTTTATCCTATTTACCCCGTATTATTGCAGATTTGGCAAATCATGCTGCTGCACGTAAGAAATGTGGAAGTATTATTTTCATGTATCAGCTGATTTCTATTTTACATACAGCTAAAGGATTCTGCCTCTTTAACATTCCTGCAGAAGTAAACCAGGAATTGTAGAAGTTAAAAAACGTCTGGCAAACATGAAAAGTATACACGCAGCTATGGAGCTAAAACACACTAGTGACGCAGTGTGGCCTTGTGTGGCTTCCCCATAAATGAATCAACAATACACTGTGTTTTCAAAGCCTGCCACAGTGTGCCTCCACCTTTGATTTGCTTGAATATCTTTAAGCTCTTAAGAAACCTATAATTACGCTCCGGCAGCCCCTGTGTATTCAAACAGCAAAGTGGCAGTGTTGAGCATGCTCACACACACAGCAGTCAGCGTGACAGCAGGACGGGGGGGAGGGCAGAGGTCCTGATTGCTCCGGGGGAATGCAGTGAGAGCCCTTACATGCACTGAGAGAAGCGCCGCTGAAGAACCCAGTCGCACAAACGAGGGCACCCTCGAGCGGCACAGCATGGGCTCCGCGCATAGCTCACTTGCGCTTGGAGTGTTTTCATTTTCCCCCGCACTTGCTAGCTCTCAGAGATCACAGTTTCTAATTACTGATTAAGGTCCGCTGTGGTCGTCCTAATGAGCTCTTCATTCAGCGCCTCGTTAAAGGCTCACAGGTTTCTTCACACCCTTAACCCTGTGGCGCGCGGGGTAGAGTGCGGTCCCTCCCTTCTTGTTTTCAGGGCGCCGACACCGGGGAGAGTTTCTCAGTGTGACAGGGGAGCAGATGGAGCTCCTGGCTGGGGCTTTCCTTGTGCAGCACCTCCACTCTCCTTCTCCTCTGTCTTTCCCCCCCGCTGCATGTCTGTGGGTTTCACTCATGCGCAACAGTAATGGCGTATTGAGCCGGTGGCGCTCCAGAAGCCATTAGAGCTAGAGGGATGAGGCTTTGCACACGCTGATCACACAAAGGCCCATTGTGGAGGCCATGTCAGAGGGTGGAGCGGACCAGCTAGCTCTGTGCCAAGCGCTACCCAAGACAATTAATCCCACAATGCCAACCACCAAGTTGGGTGGGGCATGAAACAGGACGGAGTGGGCGATACGTGGGTGAGCAGGGTGATTGAGGGGGGGACTGGGTGGGCCGCGATCAATTTTATATCGTATATCTGCGAGCCAGGCACACAAAGCCTCAGAGCTAATTACTGAGGCGATTTGGATTCCGCACGACCTGCACCAGAGCTGGGAACAATAAAGCCTACAATCACAGGGAGAAAGGGAGAAGGAGAGCAGCCATGTTGTCTGCTATTCATAAAGCCACAGCCAGGGCTCTCCAGTAATTAATATCATCAGCTGGATGTTGTCTTCATAACGGCGAGAATTAACGCCTCCGGGTTCTAATGGTCCAATTAGCGCGTAACATTTAAAGTACATTTTTGGCAAATCGCCTCCGTTCAGATCCATTATGGTTATTGAATTGGGGATGTATGGTTCAATTCTTATTGAGGCTTTTGTGAGACACAAGGGTGAGCTGCTGAACTATTCATTGCCTCATTAATTGGGCAAGAGACAGAGAGAGGAAGGGAGAATTTCTGTTGAGGGATTTCGGTATGCTGATAAGAAATCTGATAGCATTTGTCTGCAGCTGACAGCTCTGTATGTGTATCTGCTAAACAGGTAATCAGGAGGAATAATCGGCCTGATTTAAGCTGTTCTATAGTGGTCTAAAAGCTATTAAAGAAGCTTTTGGGAGACCTCTGATATATGTGGACTGCTAGTGACCAAAAAACCCCATTCTTTTTCTCTTCATAGTTGCCATTACTATTGTTCTTGCAAAGTGAATAGCATCTTGAGACACAGAGACATTTCTAAAATGACAGGGCGAGCCAGTTCAGCTCATCAAGTTGATCAAACAGGTTTTTAAATCAACTCTGAAAAGAGAAAACCAAGATGAACGGTCAATGATCATCGTACTGGGTTCCATATCTCAACTTAACTTCCTCCTTGTGTCTGTGTAGCAGAGAGTTCTTCACACCCATCAGCCCGATTTTGAGACATTGGGCTTTACTTCTCCCAACTTGTCAAAACTCTCCTGTATTTCCTGAAAATGTAGTTACCTAGATGCTGGTTTTAGCAATCGCCTCTCTCATTAAATATGTGGCCTTTGTTGTGTGATTTAGCCCCAGTGCTCGTTTTCCCCCGAAGCTAGAATATTGTATTTGAGAAAAGTGTAATACATTTCTCTGACGTACGAGGATGCTCTCTTGGTTTCAGGCGAAAACGGACTTTGTTGTTTCGTTGTTACCATGCTACCAGATTGGAGGAATTAACTTACCAAGTTCAGTGTTATATAAACCGATGGAAAAAGGCCAAACCTTTTATAACATAATGGAATACATTTAAATGTTCCTTCAAGGTACTCACCCCAAACATTTGCCTTAGGTCAGGGTCCCGGAAGCGGAAGGGAATGTTGGAGACATGTAACCTTTTGGGCTGCTGCTTCTCTGAAGAGTCTGAGTGCTGGAGCTGGAGCTGCTGAGAGCCCTCTATTTGCGTCACATCATCTGTCTGCCAGGGGGAAACAAACAGAAAAGACACAAGCTGCTCATTAGCCGCTACAGTATACTGTACCTCCCGGTCCTGGAGTACGACAAGGGGGGTGGGGGTTGCAATAGGAGGGAGGCGGGGATGCAGGGTTGGCTAACTAACTTACTCAGCGTCTGCCATTTTTCAATCTGGCGAGAAAGCCAAAGCGATAAACAGCCGATGACTTATAGTGTCAAACCTGAGGTTGTGCATTACAAATCCACTTATTAATCTCTTGCACTTAGCTCTTGAGCAACAGGGAAGATTGAAGGCGCTGACAAAAAGGCGTGGATATAGATCCCACGGAGCCCTGACATGTCTAGACTAAAGACACATTATTGGTGACGTTTGCACACAGCCATCAGAGTGCGAGGCCCAAAGCCCTCAGCGTTGTTGTTTCCATCATTATGCGAATGCTATGCTGACATTTCTATATAAATGACGTGTCTGATGTCAATGACAAATTCCACTTGTTTCTCCCCGTGACACCCATGATGGATTTCACTGAGGGGGCTGGCGGCTTGTCTGTTTAGATGGACCTTGTTTTCGAGGCGGTTTCTTTTTTTGAAGCAAAACCTCATTGGTCAACAACTTGGTTTATTCTCTCTTATATGCACCAATGTGGAATGAGACCCTATGTTTGGCAAAATATGTCATTGGTCGTTTCCTTTCAATACGCTTTTTACTGTTGCGCAAAATGTCAGACCTCTCCTTTAGCGTGTTTTCTACCCTGCCTTCACTAACCCTAATCCTAATCCTAACCCAACCTGAGGCTTTGTTGAGTTAAAGTATTATTGTACTACAATTACTATAACAATTGTATACAAGTAATAGTTTTTGGAAGGTAGGATTATTTGCTTTCTTTCAGAGAGTTCAGATCAATTTCACTTTTAGGAGATGTTATATTTGTCTTTATGTACAGATTAAAAAAAATATTGTTAATTAGTGAGCTTTACATTTCTTCTTTGGAGAGAGCCTGTCACGGCCAGTTAAACCCCACGGCCCCGCGGGCGGGGGCAAAACGCAACATCTTGCAAGAAACAGCGTCTGAGGGCTTCTTAACATTTAATGAACTATGAATGTGTCATACTCACTTAATGGGAAGAAACTCAATATTACAATTTTTAGCTAAACGAAACAAAAGGGTAATAACAAAGGCTCTGAATTAGCCCTGAGCGAAAGAATGCTAACGCAATTAGCACAGAACTCAAGGTAAAATACCCTTATTACTTATCAAATCTGCACAAACAATATACCGATTAGCAAGCTGAGATTCCACAGACTCCAGAAATATAAGTATCATCACTGAGCGATCCGAACTCACGACAGGGGAAGCGAAAACAGACATCGCAACACGTAGCTTCACGGAGGAAACACGGGACATTTTCTTACCTTTGCTGTTGTTCTGATCAAAAGTTGTGTTCAATGGCATTAAAACGATAACAACGCTGCTGAAGGTTAATCCATAGGTTAATCCAATGTGTCTGTGTCACTTTGAAATGATTACTGATAATCCATCATTCCATTTTTGTCAATAACGGAGTTTTCATATCAAGCTGCTATGAGAGCTATGAGAGCTACAACCCAGCTTCCGGTTTTGGGCATTCTGGCTACGCATCACTCATTCACCAATGGGTAATGTTTAGATGGATTTTAGGGACTTCCCCTCGATTCTATTGGCTCTAACGGTTAAAAAGAGGTGTCAATCATCAAAATCGACCAAGGGGGGCCAGAATTATGGAAAATCTACCCAAATGACCCCAGAAGTGTTGTTGTTTTGCTAAACCTCTCTAAAAAGGTCAAATGTCACTTGTTTTGCATCAATCTTGATACAGGGTACTTATTATATGTTATAGTTTGGATTCCTAAAGCTTTTAGTCTCCAATCCCATCATTCAAGGGTGGTTTTCACTATAAGTCATGTTTTATTTTTGGACGGACACTATAATTTACATTTTCTTTTACTATGTTCAATCTGAATTTACTTTAAAATAAAAAAAATCTATATTGATTCTGACTTTTCTACATCCAACTCACAGGTTTATCATTACTTTGAGAAAAAAGATGATTAATTTAACCCTTTTAGAAGTGAAGATATAGTCATTTGTTCTGGGAATGTCCTTTTCGAGCCTGAGGCCTGAAAAACAGGCTCAGGGCTAAACAGGTTTTAAACGTTGGCTGTTTGTGAGAACCGCAACGAAGTGATGTCAGGTCCCACAAAACCAACTGCCTAATTAGCAAATCTATGACAGCATCACACTGCTCCCACCTTTGCCTCTGAGAGCGGATAGTAATTACTTCCATGACCACAAGAGGTCACTCATCAAGAAAACATAAGGTTTGTTTTTAGCATTTGAACAAACAGCCAGTGCCGTGGTGTTTCCTGCGGGAACCGTCTGCATTCTGCAACAGCGAGCGGGTGATCAAAATGAACAAAAATGAACCCTGATTTAGTGGCAGTGCCTGGGAAAGGGGACTAAATAAAGAAATGCAGAGAGGAAGAGGGGAGGGGATGAGAAACGCGAGAGGGGAAGAGGCAGATATTGAGCACAAAAGCTGTTTGAATGTGATATGTAAACTGCTAGGTCTCCTGGGAAGAGCTCTCTGAGCATGGCAAACACACTATACACTGGCTGGGGAGTCACATACACAGACACAAGCTTGTACTGAGATACAGACGTGAAAAGGGAGTAGGTTGTTGCCAGAGTACAAACGGTTCAGATGACACACACGCACACACGGTGATAACCCTCACCCTGCTCGGAGGCTGTCACACGGCTGCGGGCCACTCTTAGTGATACATTTCCCACCATTTAGGAAATGGGGTAGGGATTTATTCATTATAATTCATCATCACAGTATTATCATTATCATCATGATCGTAATGATGATCGTCTTTATTATTCTCATTATCATAATCACAATCTCCACTGTAATGGCCGTCATTTATTTGGTTTTTATGGCCCATTCGGAGACGGTGACATACATTGTTAACAGTGACAGTTGTTTGATTCAAGGTCCCACTTTGTCTCCCCTGCAACCATCCAGGTAGGGCAGGTTGGCGGCAGGTTGGCGGAAGCTTCCTGAGTCCTGCTCGGGCTTTGGTGGCTTCCGGACCAAAAGGGTAACAAGTGGCGAAGGACACGGGGGGCCAGGGAATGTGCGGACGGTAAGGAGTGGATTTGTGACAGAGAGAGGCGGGCGGAGGGGTCTTAACTCTGCCGTGTCCTCCCGCGCTGGAGGTTAATAGCCTGAGTAGCCATGTTGGGCCCCGGGGTGACACATTGCAGACAGATGCTGGGACTGTGGAGGGTGACAAGGTACCAGAGCCCCGCGGGTCAATCTGTTTCATCGGTCACACATGACACTATCGACCTTTAGCGTATGTTGCCAGACTACTGAGCACCGCTGTCCTCCAGCTCTGTCTGTCTGGCTTTTTATCACGGCGAGCGCAGTCGCGTGTTTGCAAACATCCAGATTAACTTTCACTCTGCGCTCAGACAGGCCGGCAGCACGCTGACATCGGGGGCAAGTACACATACGGAGAACACAAATACTGCAACGCTGACTCCACAGCAAACCCAGACTGCATGCTACTAACTCAATAACTTGGAGTGTCACCGGGATCCGGGATGTTGCCTCCGCTCCCGGGGCTCCAAATACCTGCCTGGTTGGGAAATGGTGGTTTTGCAGCGGAAAATAATTACCTTCGTATTACCATAGGAGGCCACCTTCAGTGGCACTTTACTGTCCCGACAGCTGCTGTCACGGGGAGGAAGAGGAGGAGGTGGGATGCAAAACATTCCGTCACCGCCAAAGCCAGCAAACCAGTGAGAGAGCTGTCAACTCCAGCAACTCTCCGGCTTCCTGTTCAGTCATTTCTCTAAAAGACTCCCTTGCTGTTATTTGCAAATCGCCTGCAAAGTGCTCTGCTCAGCACTTTCCCCCTCCGCACAGAGTGGCATTACAAGAGCATAATTGAAACTATCTGATTGGAATGCTGCCAAGCAGGTAGATTACATCCGATTAAATAGGGGGGGATACTGAGTCCTCTCTCACAATAATTATAATGCCCAAGCTTAAATTCATTATTTCCCCCCTCCCGGTCCTCCACTGTTTGTTTTCTTTTTCTAAGGAAGCTGCAAATATATCCTCTCCATCACCTGAGAGTGCAGGGTGTGTGGAATGGAGGGACCACCCCCACCTCCTCCCACTGATTTATATTAAAATAGCGAGTTATTTCGGGCGTTCAGGCGACAGTACTCAACTGTAACAGTGTCTGCGTACACACTTTAAGGTGATTGACAGGTGGAGCGCCAATAATGTTTGGATAGACATGAAACTGTCCAATTTAATGTATCAACAAAAAATGTAAGCTTCTGTATTGTCCAACTTTTGATTATTAGATTAAAAGGGAGCATTGGGTCAGTCCCAGTGAAACCATAAATGCCTGGCTCTTTAAGTAATGGCAGCTGAGGCTTCTGGGTATCGTAGTGTCAGGTTTGGGGAGTAACATTTTACGGGATTACGAATCAGGAAGAAAAGCTGTATTCCCTTACAGTAATATATATTAAAAAAAGATGACGTAATCAGATTACTATTACATTACAAGGATCATATTTTATTTATTCTGTGTAAGCTGTACTGTTCTGTAGGCTAATATTAAGTTTAAGCCGACAGAATATAAGTGTGATGCTAAACTGACATAATCTAACACTAAATACTCACTTATATAAACCTTTTATAGTTGACAGATTCTTCCAAAGACCAAACAAACAGTGATTTTATCTACTGACAACTATTATCTGTCTATCTTCATCCTTCTCTCTGCCATAAAGGCTCCATTGTTGTCCACAAATTATTAAAAACTCATCAATGAGCAATACTGTTGCACTGTTTGACATGTTCCTTTATTATACAATGTGTATTTAGACACAATCCCACATACACTGTCCTGCTGCTACAAATACTCTCTACCACAGCACCAAAAGTGGATTCATCCGCAACAGAAACTAGTCCTCAAGAACGCTTTATTATCAGTATTGGTGGTAGGGCGTACAAGTTTAATCTGTTTTATCTTATTCAAACCATCTAAACTGACATTCGTCATCACGACCAATTCTGGCATTTATTGGTTTAATATCAAACATTTGAAATGTTTGCAGCAGCTCAAATGCACTTGAAAATGAAGCTACATGTCAGCTGTTTTAATTTATTTATTATTTATTTAGAGGCACAGTCAGGTTATAGAATTGTTAAGAGAAGGACTTAACTTGTTACATTGGCCTATTCAAGGATAACTACAAAACTATAAATAGAAACGGCCTTATCCTTCAAATGATCCAGGAGTTTTTTATGTGGAGGAGCACTGATAATATCTGTAAAATGGGAATGCACAGTGGTGTAAAATCAGCGGTTCCTCCCACTTGAAGATAACCGAGTCATCCCCTTCTTAATGGTGGCCTACATGCTGCCATCAGCACCGCCTCTGAAAGCTACACCCGGCGGAGTCTCAATCCCCTAAACACTGCTCCCGACAGATGAGAGGGTGCGTGCGTGGATGTATGAAATGTTTGCATGTGCTCGCCCTTGTGTGTTGGTATGTGTGTGCGTTATCACAGTCCCCCAGAATACCCTTTGGAAAGTCTGACACGCGTCTGACACGGGCTGTGAAAAATCTGGAATGGAGTGCTGCCCCAACGCCACTGCCTTAATTTGTTATCTGAAAAGAGAATGATTACTCATGAAATTCAACCAAACCTCAGACTATTTGAACTGAGCCAGATAACGAGCTCAGTTTTTTTTTTTTTTTTTCAGCAGAGCTCCCTGGCAGCCCTCTGCTCCCCTCATCTCTTAGGATTTGGAGAGAAAAAGTTGGGGGCTGCCTCTCTTCCTCAAGTCGTCCCGCTTTCAAGTCAGCTTGTTTGAACATGTCACAGATCGGGGGTCCCAGAGGTCTGGCTCTGGACAGCGCCTCCTCCCCAGTGTGGACGGGTGAGACTGGTAGTCACAAGGCAGAAAACAGAGAGTCACCCCGCCTCATTAAAACACACTCTCCGTGCTCTGCGGGGAATTCACACAGAATCCATACGTTTCACTGAATGTTCACTCTCTCTTGACTCTTTTTAAGTCTTTAAGTCGAGAAGATGTGCAGAGTAAAGCGTCTTCGTGGGGAAGAGGAGCTGAGCGCAGCAGAGTCGAGCCTAGGGAGGAGGGGGGGGGGGGGGGGGGGGGGGGCAGGGGGGGAATGCAGTGAGTAGCTGATCTGCTCCCTCAATCTGTGTTCCTGCAGGGTGCCCTAATCAAAGGCACCCGGGCCCGTCTGTGGCACCCAGAGCAAACAGGCTGGGTCTGTCATTAAAGCTGGGGAACTCAGCGGTGGGCGACACTACACCAGCGGCCCCCGAGGATTAGACTCTCTGTTTACACCCCACTAATCTCATCCCTCTGTCCTCCCTGAGAAAAAAGATGGGTGGAAGTGGGGAGAGCGCGGGAGTGTGAGGAGGGTAGGGGGAAAGCGGGCACGGAGAGGGGATGTGGGGGGAGAGCATGAAGCAAGAAGTAAGGCGAGCTCTCATCTCTCCATGGCCACCATCTCTGGGCTTTCTTCACAGCGGGGGCACAGATGAAATGAAATCAAATGGAGAGAGAGAGAGGAGACAGTGAGAGCTGAACCTCACTTTAAACTCTCTTGTGTGTCAGCCATTACTGTAAAGTGCGGCGCGTAACCACGGAGCAGTTGGAGAGCGTCACACAAATCTTCAAATCAAACATTGCTACATTACCAGCCGGCGACAATACGCCACGGCTCCATTTCTGCCGTATAAGCACTTTCCTGCCACCAAATGTCCCCCAGTAATGGAGGCTCGGAAAAATGGAGTTATTAACAATGCTCTTTATGAGTGACCCAGATCCCTCTGAGGGGGGATGTGGCCTCACCGTGACCCCTCCCAGCAGGTGTTTTCACGCTAAAGGAGAGGTCTGAAGGTCTTATTTTTTTCCCCTTCATCTCTGTGAGCATTATCCGTCTTTCAAGACACGTCTGGAAAGTTAGGCCCTGCCTTTTATCTACACCTGACTCTTGTGAAGGTAAATCTCAGGTCAAGGTATTTCATATCGGAGTATCAGTACACAAGAATGAAACGAATAATATATCGTTTAGAATTCCACTCAGTCCCAGGCCGTGTATCTCCACATGCAGCATCGCCAGGGGTTTGTTTTCCACTCGGAGTGCCAATACTTTAAACATATCTTATAGTGGGGGGGGGGGGGGGGGGGGGGGGGGGGAAATGCAAATAAATGAGAGAGTATAATCAGGTCCTGGCACAGTTACGCAGGATTCTGTTTAAAGGGACGTCTCTTTTGGACGCTGGTACAAATAAATTAGCGGATTTGACTCAACGGTAATTTAGTTTTGGCTGTTGGAGAGAAAGTGCGTCTCTCTTTTACTGCCCGAAAAGATCAGGAGGGAAGGGCGTGCCCTCCTCTCACAGATCCTGAATCATTCATGTCTACAGCAAGTCACATCTCCTTTCACGCAAATAAATAAAACAGCGCAGGGCTTACATGTTTTTTAAGGGAGCCCCAAATGGCTCTTCAGAAATGCACTTTCATTTTATGAGCATATTTTCAACCAAATTCACCTCCCACGCCGAGCACAAAGCACTGCCATGACATCAAAGTCTTCTGCTGCTTCTGGATGATTAGTACTGTGAGACTCAGTATAACTTTTACACTCACTTTTTATTAAGAAAGTCATTTTTGTTGTGATTGTGATGCAGAGAACGATAATATTGTCAACTGAAATACAAGTTTCTCAAAGCAACTCTGTATAAACCTAATGGAGCAGAATTACACATTTGAATATTGCATAGTGAAAACAGAAGGACCGTATTTGCAAATGAAGACAAATTATCGTCGCTTAAATTCTCCTTTGACATATCTTGATTAAAATCGTATTTAATTGTGTGATATTATGATTTATGCAGAGCGTAATTAAAGGTGTAATTATTCTTAGTTCATTACCATTTTAATTCTGTGGGAATGTTTAGGCCTAATTCTTTTAATATTAAACTGATGGCAGGATATTTATCGTCCAAAGTGCTTTTTAAAGTTGTGTATAACTGAGTTGGATTCATGGCAATTGTGTCGATTTGTTGTAAAAGACAGAGAGTTTCTTCATGGCGTGAAACAGGAAGAAGGCAGGTGCTGAAGCTTTCAGGCTTTAGGCCATGGCAGACGGTGGAAAGAGTGAATGGATATTAGCAAAAATAGCTAACTTCCTCAGTGAAACCACAGTCAGGGAGAAGAAACAAGTACTGGGAATAATACGATTATTATGTAAGTAAATCTGTTCCATCTGAAAATAAAAAGCCATTGAATTTTTAGCACCAAATAATTATGCATTAAAATGATGTATCTGTACTTCAGCCTGGAAAATGAATAGATCACATTATTTTTCTTTTTTTCTCCCAGTTCAGAATAAACATTTTAAACGTGTAACATAGAGATTCAAGATTCTCAAATTCAAAGTTTCAAAGTTGCAATAATTCAATGTATACATTTAGGTTTGAAACATTCAGGGAACCCAAGGGAAAGCAATCGATTCCATATCAAGTCAAGCTACGTTCATACCCTCCAACGATGTGGGAAGGCAGTCATCTAAACACATTGAAACCTGGTTGAATGATGGTGCTTAAGTGAGTATATCAATTCTTATATATGCCATTGTGTTTGTCTGTTTTTCAACAAGGTGGTTGTCTTTTACTAAATCTTTGAAAAAAGCAAACACACAATGGCACATACAGTAGAAGAGTTGATCTAGAATTGAGTTTTATACATCATATTCATGCAACTGGATTTGGTCTATCAACATGAATATGTATATTGTATTTTTTAAGCGAAACGTTTTAATTCTGAAGTTGGGAACATTGAAAAATAAAGAATATTTTGAACAATTACATTACATTCTGAAAAATAAATTCACTGCATAATTATTCGTTGCTGGGAATTCTAGCACAGATGGCACAGATTTACTTCCATAGGTTCTCAATGAAACCTGTGTGAGACCAAATCTACCAAGCGTCTTCACTTGTGATCATTGTGTTTAGGGGGACAACGTCAGAATCACACATTTTAAATTGATATGAAACAACACATACAGATATACAGTATACTTTTCATCCAGGCATCATTACAATATAAGAAAAAAAAAGGTAAAGAAGTGATAATAGTATAGTTTACTTGCTGACAGCGTGTTGAGAACAGTGTTTGCAGATGATGAAGGACACTGACCGGTGCGGTCGTGGCGGCGGTGATGGCGGGCGTGCTGTTGTCACTGCCGGCCGGCTCGCTGTGCGTCTGTGTGGGGCGTGTACAGGGTCATGGCGTGTTCAGGGACCCGGCTCTGCCCGCTGTAGTCCTGCGTTGGAAGTGGGTGCGGTGCTGCGAACTCTGCGGGGATGCCATTCTGTGGGGGTGGGGGGTACTGGGCTGGGGTGTACGGCTGGGCCATCGCTTCTGGGGGATTAGTGGCCTCTTGGTTACCCTGCAGAGACACACAACAGGAGGCAAGCGTTAGAACTCGGCTCCAGATGAAAGTTAAAGTACATTGTTGCACTCGTACGAGCAGCATGAAAGACGTGCCAGTTCCCCACAGTTCAGAAGGCAGCCGGGGAGAGCTGTCCTGCAAACTAACTAAGTCAGGGGGAAACAGCCATCATATCACATCTCAGCTCACATTAGAGGATTCCTTGATCATTGCTAATGAACACAGTTTATGTTGTAGAGCATGGCTCGCTGTTGGAGGGGCAAGAGTCAGGGGGAATCTCAATTGCACTCGTGGCAAAGCACAAGAGGAAAGATCAATTCATTGATACAATTTTGATTAGAGCCTTTGATTCCGATGACAGGTCTGTTAAGCTCGCAGCTGCTCCCTCTCCGAGCTCCTACTTTAAACATTAACCTGTGTCTCACTTTATGAGGATTTCCCACCTCTCACTCTCGTCTTTATCAGAGTATTATTCAGAACGTTTTCTAACAGGTTTTAAAGAGGCCCTATTTTATCTTTCTGGCTTTTCCCTTTCCTGTAGTAGTGTGTTATATAGGGTTTTGTCCATGTCAATGTTCTGCAAAGTCCCCAAAAGTTCCCTTCCAGAGGGAGTTTCTCTCTCAAACACTCCCCCCCCCTGCCTGAAATGCCTCCATCCCCCTTTTGTTCACTTCCGTAACATAATCACTATCACTATGTAACACTCGCGCTTCTATCGGCTAGTGCTCCAGCACATTCTACGTGATAGGCTAAGGGGCGGGACATTTCTAACATATCTCTAGTCAGTTGACCAATCACAACAGAGCCGGCCAGCTAACCAATTAGAGAAGACTGGGCTCTGGTTTCAGACAGAGGGTGAAAAGTGCTGCTGCAGTATGAACATTAAAGCATGGAAACATGTCAAAGTAGAAGCAGAAGATACAATTATGAAGCTGTAAATGAGCTCCAATCAAATGAGGACACCCGAGATTCTTAACTAGCTGTACAAACTTGCCATTTTGGCAGCATCAAATTATGTCTCAAACCAGCAAAGCCAGAAAATAAAAAGTGTATATTTCATTGGAGACACATTTCAGTTGCCATCCTTACAAAGTTTGAGGATAAGCCCCGTTATTATTCCTATAACTCTCTTTCTTTCCATATGCTTCCAGAACACACACTGTGGAGTATCCGCAGCACATATGTTTTTAAGTCTTTCCTCTTGACTCAAGTGATAGATGGCCCTTTGCAACGAAGCACTTCCACGGACCCTTTGTCTCGTGCGGATGCTTGAGATGATGAGCTGCAGAAATAATGGACTTTTCTGGCTGGTGCACATTGTTAAACTGGGTAATAGCTGGACTACAGAAGTGCATGTCTTATTGTTGCGACGAAGCACTATAGGCTCTGCGACTCCAGACTAATGAGCAGAACAGTGAGATCAGTGCTGCCGGAGCGGATATCCATCCCAACATTAAAAACACGGAGGGAAAAGGTGAGACAATAACACTGGAATCCAATAACACCCCCTGCAAATACCCTCAATCAAATTTAAAGATACAGATCATGCGAACTCAATGCATAACTCTTTCGATAAGAGAGAAGGAGTGGAAAAAGGCACAATAGCAGCCAGGAGTAAGGTTTTTATGATTGGAGAAAAACAATAACAGTAAACAGATAGAGAAGTTTCTGTCTCTTCCTTTACAAGCGGGCTGGGGATGGTGAGATAGGAGATAAATGTGTTAAATTCACTTCTTTTCTTTTTTTTGTTGCTTGCCGTGGTGTTTGGCCTCTTTCTGCACACTTCCACAGAAAGCTCTTCTCTGGGCAGGGATTTTTTAATGAGAGAGCTGTGCAACACTATGCTGTAAATGTAGTGGAAATAATTCTCCGCTGACGTGTTGGCAAACAAACCTCGGCCTAAACTGTGCTCTGCCAATTAAGGAAATGCTCCATTATCTAAATGAAAAAACGGAGAAGCCTTGAGAGAGGAGAGGGATTGACCAGTTTCCTGCAGCCTGCGCTGGGCCTCAAGGCTGCTTGGAGTGGACCCTCGCTCCTGCCTGACCTAATCCCCCCCCCCTCCCTTCTCTTTTTTATTACACTGTATTTCTATCTCCTCTGTCTCTCCCTCAATCCCTCCTCCCTGCATTCCCTTTCATGCTCACCCCCCCTTCTCCTTTTATGCAGAAACTTTTTTTAATCTCTACCCCTGTGCTCTACTTTCCCTCTCCCTCCAGTCATGGCATTATATAACACACTTGCATTGCGGGGCATCCTAATTCAAGGAAGCTCTTGATGTTGGCAATGTTCAACTTCTAAGCGCCCATTGCAAAAAGGAGAATGGGGCTGGTTACCTAAAAAAAAGATGCACCTCCTGGTATGACAGCTGAAAAAAGTCCAACCGGATCCTGTGTCCTGCTTTTAACCAGCCGGAGCTACACCCGTCAACACGTCGGCGCTCAGCAGTCCAGCGGAGACATAAAGCTCAGCAGCCTGGATAACAGGGAGATGCTGAGCTCCACTGTACATCAAACACGGCTCATGTCATTAAGGAGATCAAAGCTTCAGTTATGTCTTTTTAGTAAGTCACTGTCAGATCGCTGCCCACCGATTGGTGTTTTTTGAAAGATTTGCCGAGGAGTGTTTACACTAACACCCAAGTGATGATCGGGGAAAAACATCCTCGTACAAACATCAGAATTCTGGATAAACCGTCATCCTGTGTTTTGAGATATCTCATTATGCTAGCCCGGGTTTTTCTGATTTAATTTGGGAAACTGTGGCACCTCAGGCCGTCAAAGAACACAGAGTCCTCATTAGGAGGAGCAGAGGCCTCCGGCAACGTGACGCAGGGTTACGCTGCAAGAAGGTTTAACCTGTCTCAACTACAGCCGCGAGGCATTGCTGTGTCATCCTGCAACAAAGTGCTTAGGACCATCAATTCCATGCATGCATACATTTCTGCCAGATGACTTTGTGATGTGAACTGTGTTTTCCTAAGGTATGCCTCACAATTGTTAAGACAGAGGATAAAAAGTCAGTCTTATACTATTATAAACAGTTGTGCGGTGGTTACCATTAGAAAAAGTCTGTGACATTAATCTCAGAATTTGACGTTTTTTGGACTAAAATTAGACTTAGCTACGGAAGAAGATTAGGGCTACATGTGCATTTCTTTTTGAGAACTGACCAAAATGTATTTATTTAGGGGTACTGAGAAAGTTGCTTTTGTCGCCTATAACTAAAGATTTGATTATAAGTCAAATCTAGCATTTGAGTAAACGCAACAATTTATCGGTAGACCAAATTCGCCCATTTCTATTGATGTAACAAGTTGAAAAATGACAACTACAGGTGTTCCATGTCCATCCAGAAAGACAATATAATAGAAATAGTTGGAATCATGTTTACACAGAGCTAGAAAACCAGCTTTGAAGTGAATGTCATATGATGAAACCAGTACACTAATGTGAGACACTTTGTGGGAATGTATTGGATCAGCGGTTTTGTTTTTGGATGTTTTATACTTTCGACTATTTCTGATGAGCAAGTTGTGAGAGAGCTTCTGCTTTCAATTTCCTTCTTGCTCAATCTTCAGCTATTTATCTGACAGTTCCTTGGCTTAGGGAAATTCTGTGATGTAGCTGACTTTCATTGCTTGCAGTACTGGACACTTTATTGTTCATGCCTCAGTTCTGCAATGGTCATGACGGGTTCTACTACAATTGTTAAATCATCGTCTGCCCTCGAGTGTTCCCTCCGTGCCGGCGTAATGCTCGCAGGGCATACAGGCCAGTGTATCTGTGTCAGGTCTGTTGCGATTTGAGCCTTAAACAAGTGCAAAGGACTGCGCCGGAGCCAAGTGACATACAAACAGGATAACAGCCTGCAGTTCAGTACTGGAGAAAGAAAAAACTACTTAAGCCTTGTAGCACCATGTCGTTGCTGTTTCAAAAAGCAGCAAGGCAAAGGCAAGGAGGCGGAGAGTACAGGCCTCATTAGTGGAACACAAAGTAACACTGGCTCTCGTATGATCTTCGCCTTCCTCTGATGTATGTGACAAACGAGTTATTCAACTGGATGTGAACTGGGAGAAGAAAAAAGGCCAGAGCAAAATCGGGGGGGGGGGGTTGGAGTTGTGCTCGTCCCAGTGCGACCGCGCGCCCTTTCTGCCAGTGCTGACGTGCCGTCGTCAAGATAATCCATGGTGCCTAATGAAAAGCCCCTCCATGACAAACCGGTCAGGTACACAGCACATCTCATTCCACTGAAACTGATTGCTGTTCATTACGGCTACGAACCGGCGCTACGAGTCTGTGTTCAATTGGGATGCTGGCGAGTGTTTCTCCACCTGTTTATAGGGAAAGAGCAGGTCCCTTTGCGGCACTTTAATGCCCCCCCCTTACATGGCCTGCTGCCACCAGCCGCCTCAACATCGTCTCCACGGACACGGCGACGAAGAATAAAGGCAACCAGAGAGAGCGGCTTTTATCGATCTGCCGTCCTCTCCATTCCTCTTTCCCTCCATCTCTCCTTTCACCCTTTTTACTCCTATTACTGAAGAGCACAATAAAAAACACTATCTCTAATCTTAAGCACTCTCCTTGTGTAAAATTGGATTGGACACCCGTACTTAAGGAGATCACTTTTGGAGCGGAGTTTTTGTTTTTACAGTCAGCATCGAGAGCCAAAGAGGTCAGGAAGGCCTTGTGGCAATGCCCACTGCTGAGGCTGGCAGTCTGAGAGAAACTCCCAGCATACAGTGCTTCAGAGAGACAGGGATTTCCACCAGTGTTAGCCACAGTGTACGTGGTCAAGGCTACATTCCGTCTCAGCGGGTACGCCTTGGCCGCTTGCCAGCCATCCGTGATCCTCTTTAGCAGCGCTGCGAGGGACGGTGTTGAGAGGCCAAGAGGAGACGGGCTGTGCAAATACAGGAGCTGTTAGGAGGAACTCATATCGGCAGAGTGCTGCACTGACTCACACGTGTGACGGAGGGTCAGAGAGCAGCGTAA